TATTGATTTCCTTTCTTACTTTTTGGGAAGGGACCCATGTGGTCGATGTTGATACTTCTGAATGGAATTGGTAGGACTTCCTCAATATGTAGTTCACCCTCTGCCTTGCCTCCTTTTACCTTGTTGTAGCAGCATTCCGGACATGACTGAATGTATGATTTTACATAACGTCTCATTCTCGGGAACCAGAAATCACGTTGAAGCCTTTGGAGAGTTTTCTCTTCACCGAAGTGTCCCAAATCATCATGACAAGCCTTAGTTATTCGCCACCGGACTCTTTCTGGAATCACCATACGTTTCATATTGTTGACTTTGCGAAATAGCCTCCCATTTTCTATTACATAGTCCGCTTTGATCTGCTTAATTTCATTTGCCTCGTTTTGCAAATTACCATTGAGAACTTCAAAGATGTGTTTCAGCTTCTTATCCGACATTTGCAGTTGATAGACCCAGTCGTTAATGTTCGTTGTGAGTGCCAGAACATTTTCCGCTACTGTTCGGGATTGACTTGATGGTAACGTTGGACTTCTGCTCATCCCATCCACATAACTTATGATGTTTCTCCGATGTTTCAACTTACGTATTATTTGGGTTATCATTTCCTGGAAGACCATCGGTGCATTTGTTAATCCGAAAGGCATTACATTATATTCATATAGACCGTCTGGTGTTATAAACGCCGTGAATTTCTTGGATTCTTCCTTGACGTGTATCTGGTAATATCCTGATGTCATGTCTAACGTTGTAAAATACTTATTTCCAGATAACAACGAAAGTTGTTCTTCAACCACTGGCATCGAGTACTGCTTTTTGATGGTGACTTCATTTAATGCTCGATAATCCGTACACATACGACTTTCACCGTTCGCCTTTTTGACCAACAATACTGATGCTGCATAGGGCGAATCACTTGGGCGAATAATACAACATCGAAGCAACTTGTCAATTATGTCTGACAGAATTTGTCTTTGAGAAAATGGAACTTGGTATCTTTTACCAACTACAGGCTTGTCCGTAGATAAACTTATTTCCATTTGTGTATTTTTACACCTTCCAAGGTCTTCAAGGGTTTCAGCAAAACAGTCCTTGAACGACGACAGTATTTGGTCTAATTTTTCCTTTTGATGCTCATCCAGACTTTCTCCGACATTAAATGTACTTGGCATTGTTGACTTTACTTTCAAGACACCATGCTCAATTGTAAGTTTTGTTTGCTTCTTACACAATACGTCTCTTCCTAAGAGAACGTCATATCGCATCAAGTCATTCGGCACTACATAAATGGTAGTCATTAAACTCTCCTCGTCGATGACAACGTTAGTCTCAAACATTTCCACCACTTCAACAATAGATCCACCAAAACCTTTCATTCTTTTTGACGTTACTTCCATATCGCAACCCTCTGGAACTACAGCTTTCCGCATTAAGGTAAAGTCGCTTCCAGTGTCCACAAAACCTTCATATGTCTTACCATTGACCGTAACATCTTTCATAACCGGTGGGCAGTAATCCTTAGACTCTTCTGTCATTGCTGCCACAGTTGTACCTTTACCTTTGCATTGCGATGCATCGTGACCAATCTTTGCACATTTACTACACTTCGGCTTCTTCAATGGTTGTGGGCAACTAGTTGAGATGTGCCCAAACCTATTACAATTGAAACATTTTACTCCCTTGGGTAGCGCTCCACCTGAGACACTTGCGGTTTTGTCATCCTCGTCATTCTTTGTTTGCTTCCTTGCATACGTTTGTATGGTCAAATTCTCCAACGACCTTAATAATTCACTACATGTCTGCGGGTTCATAGCTAAAAGTGTTCTTGTTAAGCTGCTATCATTGAGACCATTTATGATGTACGACAGTATTGATGCCTCATCTACGCTTCCTCTTTTCCCTATGGCCAACATTGCGTAATAATATTCCACCAAAGACTCATTCGAGTTTCGTTTCCTAGCTATAAGTTCACGATGAATGTCAGCAACACTTACTCGACTTGGGAAATCCTTTAAAAATTGTTGTCTGAACTCTTTCCATGTTTCAACCACTGGTAAAGCATCTATCCACATTTTAGCAACACCACTCATTTTATGATGAACTGCAAACAAAGTTGTTTCATCTGACCATCCATGAAGCCTTTGCAACGTTTCAACCTTGTCAATGAATTGGACTGATGTAACATTTCCTTTAATTGGATCGAAGTCTGGTATCATTACTATGTAATCCTTTAAACAACCAGATGTTCCGGAACCAGATTGTCTTGATATTACTTCAGCTGGAACTTGCTGTTCTGTATCCCTTGAATTTAACCCTGCATTTGACGTAATAGCCCTTTCTGTTGAAAGTGTTGTTAACTGTTGCACACTTCTTGCTAGAGTCAACATTATATCCTTTAGCTCTCGCATTTGACTTGTTAGAGAATCATCACCCGTCTCAGCTTCATCAAATCCATGGAAATCCTCCTGTGACTCTGAATCTTCAACTTCCACTTCGTCATTTCCATTGCAAGCCATGAGTCTTGCAATTTTCTCGGACTTATTTCCTGTTCGTGGTAAGCTTCTTGCCAGTAATAATTTGTCTAGCTCCGCAACCTTTAACGAACTTATTTTCACCTTCATACTTTTCCTTGTGAATTTTCCTTTTTAATTCGTTACTTCAGCAAATCTAGAACTATTCCTTTTTTTTAGAAGCCGCACGCCCTAAAAATATACGTTAACTTTTCCCTTTTTAAACTTCTTCTTCGGGGTTCCCCTCTTTATGTCTTGCTTTCAATCTCCTTGATGTACTATCGTTGTCCTACTCACTCACACTTTTGAGTATACCTTTGTACATTCTCCTTTGATTGATGCTTTCTCCTTTGCTCTCTTTGAGCACGTTACACACTCTCACTAACACGTTACACTTCCCCTCTTTATGTCTTGCTTTCAATCTCCTTGATGTACTATCGTTGTCCTACTCACTCACACTTTTGAGTATACCTTTGTACATTCTCCTTTGATTGATGCTTTCTCCTTTGCTCTCTTTGAGCACGTTACACACTCTCACTAAACTCACTCGAACTTTTGAGTTTAGGTGCCTTTGCGTGGTTTCTCCTTTGGTCGTCGTTGTTGCTTTGCATTGAGCTCTTCACTACTACATCACTTTGACGCCTTAGTTTCTCAGCTCTTTGAGTATTTTTCTGCAATTCTTATCCAAAATGATGAAATTCCTTGTAGATTTCTGTTCTTATCCCACTTCTGATTCTGTCAAGATGGTTTTTATTTAAAAATAAAAGTAATTCTGGGAATAAATACAAAGTTTAAAATGTAATATGCTCTACGCTCCTTAGATGCGTCCGCTCTCGGTCAATGCTCAACGACGACTGACTCATAAACTCATTTTGATAGTTGACAGGTGGGAATACATAAAGCGCTTATCTGGCTGGCTTAAGTCATCGGCTGGCTTCTGGCTGACTGGCAGAAGTGATCGATACTTTGGTATTTTTAGTGCCAACTTTGCTTTCCAAAATACTTCAGACACATTAGTCCAACGGATTGGTATCCGGAGATTTTGGTGGCCATAGTGCGCTGGAAATGAAGCGAGGAGCCTCATTTGGTAACAATACTTGGGTAGCGCGGGCTGAGTGCGATGGTGCTGATTCCTATTGGAATGTCCAAGGTCTGCGCCAAAATGTTTGCATGCCCAAGGCTTTAATACACCCTCCAGAATATTTTCGCGATAATATTCGGCATTGATTCTGGTGCAACGGTCGATTAATACGAGCGGAGAGCGACCATCGGCTGTTATGGCGGCCCACACCATCACCATGGTCGGCGCTTAAGTTCTGGTGCCCAACCGAAGGTGCACATTTTCAGCTGACCTCTTTGGCATGAAAACACTATCATTTGTTTGTTTAAAACTGCTGGACAACGAACGTTTTCTCATCGGAGAAAACCAAATTCGGCAGTTTACCACTTTTGGCCAAGCGAAGCAACTCTTTAGCTCTTTTGAGTTTATTTTCTTTCTGTTGCGGTGTAAGTTCTTGCACTTTTGGGAATTTCAATGGCTTTATCCCGAGCTAATTTTTCAATATTTCCCGAATGGAATATTGCGATATGTTCAGCTCACGAGACATTTTTCGGCCACTGCGACGCGGGTTTCGATCAAGTTGCTTATTTACTTTTCGAACCATTTCTGCTGATGTTGCTGTTGGTTTCTTCCGTCCACTTCCTTGACATCGGGCTACGCTACCGATGATTTATTCACCTTTAAATGCTGGAGTGCTCTAAGGATAGTCACTTGCAGTATTCCTGCCAAATATAAAGAAATCACACTATCACGCCTAAATTCCATCACGAATAACTTTTTTTCTGGGAAATTCTCACCAATATGCTTTTGTACGCTTGTAAACAATATAATAAGCTGTCACTTGAATAATTTTAACAGCAGTCGTATTAGTGACTTAGAAATGACAGCAGTCTGAAGTTGGTTGCAATTTTTTCATCTCATCCTGTGTATGTATCTACTCAAATAAAAATCTCATAAATTTTCCTGGATTTTGTGGGCATTTCTTGAAAAACCTTTCTATATCTCTTTAAAATCCACCCTATAGATACCCACATTATAAATTATATTCTATAACTCTTCATTTAAAAAAAAAAAAACCAATCATAAATTGGGTCCGCCATGCGTTAGGTTTGACGTTACAACAACTTATTGTTGACGTAAAATTCTCTTATTTACTATCAAACACAACATGGAAGGAAACCCCTAGCAACTGATAATAATAACGATGAAAAACCTGTGTGTTGTTCGAATCACATGACGACAACTACATGGTTAATTGACAAAGAAAAAAAAACAATAGCAAAACACAAACAATAACAATATGTCAATGCGAGGCATGAAACTGGATGCTTAATAAAATCAAAATTTTACAACAAATAAAAATCTCAACAAACTACTATTCTTGTAGTGCAGTACATCCACACACAAAACAATAAACTATGAGGGGTTATCAGCAATTATCAGTCGTTTCATATTTTTGTTTTTATTATTTTATAATATCATCAATCTCGAAAAAAAATTAAAATCAAAACAGATGAAATTATTTCCGTTTTTTTTTTTTTTTTTTCAATTATTTAGCAAACTTTTTACAATTACTAATAATAGTTATAATAAAATAAGTTTAGTTCGTTTTTTTAAATACAATAAATTTGAATGAGAATATAATCTTGATCTAAATGAATATTTATGGATAATTATAAACAAAGAGGAAATAAGAAAAAAATCAATATTTAATTACTCATTTAAAAGAAATATGCAAAGATGAATAACATTCTAAGACAAAGCAAGCAAAACTCTTTGAAGTGGACTTGGTTAATTCTCATGTTTGAATGTTTGGCTGATTGGCTAGCTGGCGGGCGGGCAGGCAGGCAGGCAGGTTGTCTTTTGGAGAATGAACTTCTTTAAAATCAATACAGTTGTTTGTCTATCGTAGAGTATATTTTACAGATTACTTGATTTTTCAAGTAGTGATTAAGAAAACTGAGAATCGCTATTAAAACGTTACACATGGAGATAATAATTTAATCAAAGGTAAAAACACGAGAGTGCTTTGTTTTCATCTTGCCATCGACTCTATGAGCAGTTCGAAAGTATGCCTTTTATTTGGCCACCTTGCCCGTAATATCGAATTTATATTAAGACGTCATTAATTGTTGTTGGTTTCTTTTTTTTTTTGGGTATTTCTTTCTTGTTATCTTTTTATTTACCACATTTTGGCACAAACTTGTGAAAAAAAATTGTCGAATTCAAAATTTACAAATAAAAGGAAAATGAATTGATTGTTTTTTGTGTGTTTTAAATTGGGCTCTTGTTGTTGTATCAATATCCAACTAATTACAATAACTTTTTATGTGTGTTTGTTGTTGTTCTTTTTCAATTTTATTATAATTTAAAGTTATAAGCATGTTTTCTTTTTTTATGTTTCTCTTTTTAATTGTGTACAGGCGTTGAGGAATGTTGTATACTCTTTTCCAATGCTTCCAAGCTTAGGGCTTGGTTCATGTTCAACAGTGGCAGCTTTCCTGCAGAAGCCTTGGCCAAAACCTCAGGAGAAAACCATTGAGCCAACACATTGCTTGTAGGGGACAGACGTCCGTCTGCTTGGTAATTTAAATTCGTGGCAGAATTGTTGTCATTATTGGTTGATGGTGGCTGCTGGTGATGGGAGAGTTGTGGTTGTTGTTGCTGGGCAACAGCGGCAGCAACGGCCATGTCCAAGAATGGATGTTGTTGGAACATTTGATGTTGTTGACGTTGTAATTCCAATGAGCGTTGTTGTTGTTGGAACAAGTGATGTTGCTGTTGTTGTTGGTGATTATTCTGAGGCGACTGATTTTGCAAAAAGTGCGCAGGGAAGGGATGTCCGCCCAACATTGCTTGTGGTGGTGGATGGGACTGTTGCTGTTGTTGTTGTGGGAATTGCTGCATTTGTCCCACATTAGCTGGATTCTGAGCATTTTGAGAGTCATTCAAGTGATTGGGAATCTGTGGATTAAGTTGATTCTGTGGATGTTGGAGGACTTGAGACACCGGACCCTTAAGTATGGGCCGTCCCATCGGCTTATTCATGGCGGCATTCATCATCGAAGGATGAGCTGTTGCGGCTGGACCACCAATAAAGCCAGGTGGCCATTTCAAACCTGCAAGTTGTTGGTTTCTTAAATGTGGCGGCAACATTTGAGGACTACCAACTTCTGGATTTGGTGGCATTTGTTGAGGTTGTTGCTGATGCAAATGTTGTGGATTGCCAGCTCCGAGTATCATTCTAGGCGGGTTAATATGCTGTTGAAGTTGCTGTTGTTGTTTTTGCTGATGTTGTTGTTGCTGCTGTTGTTGTTGTTGCTGCTGCTGTTGTTGTTGCTGTTGGGAGAGTTTAATCATATGTTGTGGCAGAGGAGGTGGAGTTGAAATCGGATGTCCGGACATTTGTGATTGCTGCTGCTGCTGTTGTTGTTGTTGAAGTTGTTGCTGCAACTGAAGCTGCTGATGTTGCAATTGCTGTTGTTGCTGCTGCTGTGGCGATGCCATGGGCATTGGCGTTTGCTGAGCATTATTATCTTTCTCTGCTGTCATTTTACGTAAAACCGATGTTGGTGTAAAAGCTAGTGGTGTAGGAGAATGTACGGGTCTAGTCTGTTGCAAGCCAAGCATAATATCACCAGGATTAGGCTGTTGTTGCTGCTGCGGGGCTGGAGGCTGGGATTGTTGCTGCTGCTGATGTGGTGCCTGTTCCTGCAATGGATTTCCCATAATTGGTGACATAAGGTGGGGATGATGACCACCCAATTGCATATTTTTATTGACCATTCCTCCGCCCTGTGTCTGATACTGAGGCGATGGCTGTTGTGGTGGCATACGATGGTGTTGTGGCGGTATCATCTTTAACATTGTCTGATGACGTCGCATCATAGCCTGCTGATGCATCAACTTTAGCATATCTTCATGATCCAGCATATTAAGCGGCGGTGGAGGTGTTGGATGTGGCAATCCGTGTGGAATCATACCGGGAGGTAACATACCAATTGGTGTTGGTATAGGCATATGTTGCTCACCACCAGGAGGTATCATTAAATTCATTGGTATGTCCACTTTAGGCTTGCCCAATTGATCCAATAATTTTTGGAAAGCTCCAATATCTTGACCGGACATTTCGTTTGTTTGCTGGCCATTTTCGGCGTTGCGCATTTGTAGCTCAGTGGGAGGTGGAGGATGTCCATGCATTATGAAACCGCCACCCATTTCACTTCCTCTCTCTCCAACACCGGCATCCATTTTGCGCATTCTAGCCTCCAATTCTCCAACACTAAGAGGTGCCGGCATGGCGGGGAAGCCTTTCGGTAGCTCCGGCGTTGGCACATTTCCACTCTTGAAAAATGCCATCAAAGATGAGTTTACGTCATTATGATTTTCATTTAGATCAGTATTCGAAATTGTTGGCGGGTGTCGTTTATCTTCTGCCGGTTGTGGTGAAGATATGTCATTTGTCACATCGTTGTTGTTGTTGTTAGTCTCACTGCTGTTGCGGAACCAACGGCTAAAACGTGATGATCCAGCAGATTCGTTAAATGGCAGTGATTGATGATGACCACCACCAATAATAGAATTCTCCAATGTATCGATATTAAGGAATCGTTCAAAAAACTGTTCGGTTATATTCACGGCATCGCTTGTTGGAACTGAGACGGTTGCAGCAGCCACTGCAGCAGCATCTTCGGCGGCGGCCACAGCAACAGATGCCGCCACTACCTGTTCAGCTTGTTTTTCCATTGTATTGTCCAAATCTACATTGGCATTCAGGCTAGAATTCACAGACACATTTTCTTTAGGCGACGATTCTTTGAGTTCGACAGAATTTGCATTATCTTGTGCAGCATCGAGCTCATTGTCTCTAGCATCAGAGTTTAGAGTTTCGTGTGAGCCATTAGCTTTCTCTTTGGTTGATGTATTCAAATTCAAATTACTGCTACTATTGAACAAGGAACTTTCCGAATCTTTTCTTTCGCTTCCGATTTGTCGGTCTTTATCACCATTTGCTGTTGCAGCCTCTGCCACTTCTGCCATATCCATTTCCTCAAAACCACGCAATTCGATTGTGTCATGTTGAGAGGTTGGACCTTCACTAAGCCATTCTGGTTCGTCTTTACTGTATCTATTGTAATCTCGTGATTCTCGCCTTTCACGAGGAGTGCCAGCTCGTAAATCTCTCGCTTCACGAAAGTCCTTAAAATCACGATGTTCACGAACATTACTATTGCCGCCCAAAAAACCTCGACTCCGAAATAACATAGTACGTTGACTTGCCGCAGTACTGCTATCGTACTTATCCGTTTCGCCTCCGTCCACCAAAGCATGGCGTTCATAATGCGGTCTTTCGGTATTCCGGGCATCACCGCCGAAACGGACTGAGGTATTGCGAAGATTCATTTTGTCTACACCTCCTCCGGCAACGCCATTGTCATTGTATTTACCCTGTGGCGGTAGCAATTTTTCTTTATCGCCACGTTTACTGTCACCAGGTGGTCGCATATCACCCCAACTGTCTTCGCGAGGCATTAGGCGACCACTGCCTATACGACGCTCATAGACTAGTCTCTTGTTGTTAGCGCCCCCAGGACCTGAAGTCTTGTTGCCAGATGGAGAATATTCTGGGTTCAGCTTAGACATTGACGGCATCCAACCCGGCTGAGTGTCCGCATAGGGATCATCTTTATTAGATCGCGCATTGGGAGAGCCCTTATACATACTAATAGGTTTTAAAAGCTCTTTTCGCTTGAGATTACTACCACCAGTTAGACCATGGGAATCAGCAGCAGCTTTATGCTCTTCGTTGCCATCACTACTGTCGTTGTCGTTGTTAGTTCCGCCGCCACTGTATCCGCCAACACTGCTTGCACTAGTGCTACGAAGATTGGGAGGCGCTTGTCCGTCGACTGGCTTGCCAGGAATATTGCCCGAGCGACGCTTGACAAAGGCCGGCATTAAATGTGAGGAAGATATGCTACGATGATCAATATAACTACCAATACCTCCACTACTCCCGCCTAAAGAGCCCGCGGGATGTATGCCGCCACGTTGAGGATTCATAAATCTTGGACGTACAGTACGTTTACTGGCCAGCAACGACGGTGGCCCTCCCATCAAATGCGGTGGCTGGTGTAGGCCACCCACATAGCCACTACCGCCAGCACCGTCACTGCCCAAATCATATGACATATCGTCGCCGGTCATGCCATCGCAGCCACCTTCATTGGAACAGCAACCTGGACCCCCTGTGCAATTGCCGTACTGATTGCCATTATTCGGTGCCTTCCACAAACCCAAATACTGTAGTTCGTTGCGTAAACGACACGTCCATATGGACAGAATTTGCAATTCCGGTTTTAATGCACATTCGGGATGTTGCAGCGAAGGTTGTTCTTTTCGTAGGGCTAACAGTGATCGTCGTGAATAACGTATAAGGTCTGTATCTGTTGTCGTAGCGCCATTTGTCACTGAAGATTGTGCCGTCGCCGCCGTTGTTGTGTTATCTTCACAATCGGAAATGGCATTGGAGGTGTTTTGTGTGATATTACCGACATCATTGAGTTCGCACTGCTGTTGATCATTGTAGGATTGTCCAGATATTGCCACGTCGTGTTCAGCAGACATCGTCAATACGTCAGACTCTATATATGTATTGAGGAATTGAAATCCTTTAATAACAATAAATATTTAAAAGAAACACAAACTCATTACCAGCACTCACACAATGTTTGTTTCAATCATTCACAATTAAGCCATTATTAAAAAAATGAAACTAATTCATGCTCTCAATGGCATGGCAACAACGTTGTTCGAATTAAACCGTTAAGACGTCAAAAACCGTAATTACTAGCAACATATTTAATTATTTTTAAACTTTTTTTAACTTTATATCCTCCTGGTAGCATATTGTGTATGTGACATATTTTCAAAAATCTTACTTTCTAAATTATAGAGAGTATTTATCATTTTGTGAAGATGGTATTGTTAGTTTGGCTGTGCCAAAAAAGTTTTCAACATCTCGAAATATTGATCCTACGCTCATCATATAGTTTACACGCATCATCTCTCGAGTTGTGTTGATGTGGATACAGGGTGAGATGTAAAAACTGCAACCAACTTTAGACTGCTGTCATTTCTAAGCCGCTCGTCCGCCAGCTGTTATAATTATTCCAGTGATAACTCATTATATTGTTTACATGCGCACAAAAGCATTTTGGTGAGAATTTTCCAGAAAAAAAGTTATTCGTGGCTGGAAAACCACAAGTGGCTATCGTTAGAGCACTCCAGCATTTAAATGTGAATAAATCTTTTGTGTCTCGTACCATCGCTCGTCGCCGTGATACTGGTAGCGTAGCCCAATGTCAAGGAAGTGGACGGAAGAAAACAGCAACATCAGCAGAAATGGTTCGAAAAGTAAATAAGCGACTTGATCGAAACCCTCGTCGCAGTGTCCGAAAAATGGCTCGTGAGTTGAACATATCGCAATATTCCATTCGGGAAATATTGAAAAATTAGCTCGGGATAAAGCCATTGAAATTCCCAAAAGTGCAAGAACTTACACAGCAACAGAAAGAAAATAGACTCAAAAGAGCTAAAGAGTTGCTTCGCTTGGCCGAAAGTTTTCTCTGAGGAGAAAACATTCGTTGTCTAGCAGTTTGTAAACAAACAAAATGATCGTGTTTACTTGCCAAAGAGGTCAGCTGAAAATGTGCACCTTCGGTTAGCCACCAAAACTCAAACGCAGGTCGCTCTCCGCTCGTATTAATCGACCGTGGCATCAGAATAAATGCCGAATATTATCACGAAAATATTCTGGAGGGTGTATTAAAGCCTTGGGCACACAAACATTTTGGCCGCAGACCTTGGACTTGCCAACAGGACTCAGCACGCGCCACCCAAGAATGGTTACAAAATGAGGTTCCTCGCTTCATTTCCAGCGCACAATGGCCACTAAAATCTCCGGATACCAATCCGTTGGACTATTGTGTCTCGAGTATTTTGGAAAGCAAAGTTGGCAGTGCGAGATCGTTCTTAGTTAGAATTGCACGGAATTGGAATCTATTACCCTATGAACTGAGGATTTTTTCTCACTCTAATAATGTTTTTAGGAAGAAACTTTTTATTCATTTTGCTTCTTTTGAGCTGTAGTTTTCCTTTCTAAATAGCCATGCTTCTGATTTTCTGACTTTTGGTTAAATGATCTTCATAATGATTGCATTGTATTACAACTATTTGAGTTATTGTTTGCTTGCACGCTATATTTTTCTTGTCTTATTATATTATTATGGCTGGGGAGCCAATGAAGAGAAATTATTTTATAGTTTTAATTTTTTTTTTTGTATTTAATTATAAGTATTAAATACTCAGGTTTTGCTAGCTATGTAATATGATTTTATGGTCTTAGAGGCCCTGTATTACACAAATGAGTTTGAATAAAAAAAAAATAAAAAAAAAATACCAAAGTGTCGATCACCTCAAGCATGCGCTTCGCCAGGAATGGGCCAAAATACCGTAGAGCAACATTTGGACAGCGTGTGACGGTGTTATTGGATTGAAGACCATAATTCGTGCCAAAGGTGACCAATTCGAACAAATCTAAACTTATTCTAAAATTTGATGATATTTCCGACATTTTTTGCTTTCATTCAATAAAATTAAAAAAATGTAAAAATTATGGCGTTTGACTTTGTTGCAGTTTTTATCTCACCTTGTGTGTGCACCAGTGCCTCGGTCTATGTTAAATTGTAAAAACAATAGTCACACTTGATTGTCGCAACAATTACAAATTTGTAAACATGTTATGCTCTTCAATTGTAATAGTTTAAAGGATTTTTACTAGCCCAACAACGCTACCTCTAACATGTGCCATGGAATACGTTTGTTATAACCCAAAATTACATAGCATACGAGCATCTGAAAAGCAACATAACCGTCAGTGAAGTCTTGTCCCATTTCCCAACAACAATGTAAAGAAGCAATAAACAAGTTTTGTCTGTCGTAGAAAGTCGTTGAACTTTTGTGGGAAGACTTTTAAAGCCTAAAAGAAAATTCACAACTCAAAGACGAAGCATTGATGAATGATGTCATCAAAAAACTAAGCGTACAACCAACATCTAAATAAAAGAAGAATTATCTAAAAATGTAGAAAAAATTGATTCATAAAAAACCCTACAACAATGCCCAAATATAGACATTTTCTATATTAATGCCATATTAGACAATTGGACAATTTTAATGCAAAACTTTTGCGTAGGTGGATAGATTTTCAGATTCAACAGCATCAAGTATTATAAAAAAGCATAAACTATTATTATCATTATATTATTGTCATCAGTGTGCAATAAATGAAAAGAAACGACAATTCGAAGGAAAACCTAAGCATTTTTCATAAACTGGGTTTCTGTAAAAACAGCATCTCGAATGCCAGATTCACTTTCTTTTAAGTGGTATAACAACCGTGAAATCTAATAAAAGGCTTTTTTAAGCTCGTATATCATTGGCTAAGCTGGTTTAAACAGTTCAAGAAAGATTCGTGTTTCATTTTACTGGCAAAATCATTGAATTTGATAATAAAATGCTTTCTCTGTTGAGAGTAAATGTTTGACTCAATCGTTACCTAAGTTAGCAGAATTGTCGATATTAGAGTGAAGATCAGTCACTACCGTGAGATGATATCCAAACTGCAAGAGTTTAACTTGTATGACATGAGGTTTCAACAAGACAGATGTCCTTATTAAGGGCGAATTCGGCGAACATAATATTTAACATTTGGAACCGCTCAATAGGCTGCATAGATCGTACAATTTAACACCTATTGGCCGGTTATTACATCTTTCCAATATATAAAAAAAAAAATCATGTTGCCCGACACATAAATCATTTTTATGCCCTCCACCATAGTATGGAAGGTATATTAAGTTTGTCATTCCGTTTGTAACACCTCGAAATATACATTTAAGACCCCACAAAGTATGTATATTCTTGATCAGCATAAAATTCTATGTCGATTTAGCGATGGCCATCCGTCTGTGGAAATCACTTTAGCTTCCGAACGAAATTAAGTAGGTTGATAAAATTTTGCTCAAATGTGTATTATGTCTGCAGGACTTTTGGTATTGAAAATGGATGATGTAGATCCACGTTTTGGTATATATATAATGGTACCTCCCTTTTCGGTATTTTGGTGATTTACGTGGCATTATTCACCGGAAAAGTTTAAAATTTGGTATTCGAAGTTCGTAATGGGTACTACAACCTATGGCAGAAAATTGTCTGTGTAGGTCCGGTATTCGGTACTTTGATGATTTTAGCGACATTATTCACCGGAATTGTTTCAAATTTAGTGTTTGAAGTTCATAATGGATACTATAGCCTATGACAGAAAATTGTCTGTGCTGTGCAGGTCCACGTCTTCGTATAGCCCCAATTTAAAGTTACCTCCCTATATTCGGAATTTTGACGATTTTAGCTACATTACTCACTGAATTTTTTTATTCATGTTTCGCATTTGAATATTGTAATGGTTTATGATAACCAGGTCCACGTCGTCGTATAATATAACGGCTACATTCGGTATTTTTAAGATTTAAATAGAATTTTAAATGGATTTTATTTATTTATTTATGTTATTTTTTTTTTTTTTTTTTTTGAAAAATGCCAAAATTGTTCCAAATGGTGGAGGGTACGGTACTCAAAGATCGGCCCGGCCGAACTTACAGCTTTTTTACTTGTTCATTATTACAAGTTTCAATTAGGTATGAACTGTCCGATAAGCAAAAGGTCAGACGATCTTCCCTTTCTATATTAACGTAAAGTTTGCTGAATTCATGTCGCCATATTTTACATTGATAATATGACAATAACAGGAACATTTATTTAAATAAAAAGATGGATAACGCTAATCATTTCTTTTATATTGAAGAACTGAATTATAGATTTATTTCACGAAATTAATTACAAATTAGTTTTGTTTATTATTTTCAAACTAACATGAAGATGCCACTGTGAAAAGAATGCAGCGACTACCAGTTACTTTTCAAAAAGCTTGCAATGTCTCTTAAAAAAATAATTTATTTTAATGGAAAAATGTTATAATGAAAAGTAAGGGATAACAAAAGCTGGGCTATCTTAAAGTTCACGTCTAGACAAATGAAGCCGCTTCAATTGCCGTATTGGAGAGCAACATTAAAGCATTTATTCATGAGGACTAAGCGTCTGGGCCATTTGAGGAGCTGTCGCGTCAACATTTGCATGAAATAATCTTTAAACATTAAATTATATAGACCGCACAAATTCATCAGATAAAGATGCAATAAATTTTTCTTCATTTTTTTTTTTTTTAATTTTCTGAAAAATCATTCCTATAGCTCTAAAAAAACACCCTTTACATTTCATATGTCACATTTTTTTGTTTCTTTACTTTCATTTATATATGTATGTGCAGTACTGCAGAAACTTACTTCTAATGCAATATTTGCTTAGAGATCTCCTTATTGAAATCATTGGCGATTGGATCTGCAAATATGTTTTCCATAAAATTAAATCAGCTAATTAATATCTCAATGAGATATTTAACATGTTTCGTTTATTAAACAAGCCGTTTAACAAATAGGTTATGTTGTCACATTGTAGATATCTCAATTGAAATGCAAACAATGCTATCGCAAAAGATCGGTAAACAATATAACGTTTTTTTTTTTTCTCAATATTCTATATAGTTTCATTAAACATGATTTACACAGCCATAATAAAATGGGATTTTGATTATTTTTATTTGACCAAATGGCGATAAAGAGAGTATAAAGATTAATGAAAGCGTATAATCAAATTTGTGAATGTGTACAGATAACTTGTGCCAAAGCAGATTGCAAATAAAAGTGTGGTATAGTTCAGCAAACTTTTCAGGAAATACATTTTTGTATTTTAGTTTTCCAGAAGCGAAATTGGTCGTTCTATAAATATACTGTTATTAAAGGGGTTTTTGTAATCTCGGGTATTACAAAAACCCCTTTAATAACAGATTGTGTCTGCGCTTAGCAATATAACGACAAAGTATATTTATAGAACGACCAATTTCGCTTCTGGAATTTATATGTATTTATATACGTATATATGAATTTATTTGTAACACCTGTAAGTAAGATGTACTTTTGTTTTATTTTTTTGAACTTTTTTTAATTTGAAAGCTTCGTCAATAACAAGCATTACACAATGTCACACTGTTGGTTGTAAGTATTGGTTCGAATAATGATCATAAGTTAAGATCTGTTGAATATATCAAAATGAAGGTGGAGAAAAAATTTAACATCCTCATGTCATGTAAAAAAGCAACAATCAGGTGTATTCGAAAGTGTTGTAATGGGAGTGTAGAATGAACAGGGAGTTGGAAACAGCTACACAAGTAGGAATGGAACATTGACCTGTAACATACAAATTAAAAACATTTACCTTGGGGAGAAGAAAGACCTAAGCTATTTGAATTTGAAATCTATAAAATCAGTACTATTTTTACGCTCTACATAACATCTTATACCAAATATCATTAGTATAGGATACATATTATGGCTTTAAAAATGTTTCAATTTAAAATATGGCGAAACACATATATGGAAGCTATATATAAATTGATTTATATGTAACTTGGTTAGGTTAGTATTAGGATAAAGGAGGTGCGGTTGCCACGTGTTTCTCAAAATGAATAGAGTAGAAAGAAAGATTGGTGGAAAAGCTGGAGAAGTTATCTTTAGCTCTCAACATCAATGATAGCTGATTCGGACCCTGGCCTAGCCAATTCGCCTGCAGTCTCGTTGCCTGGATTATTGTAAAGACCAGGAAAACAACAGAGCTTAATGTACAACCCAGTGATTTCCCGCAATTCAAAACAGCCCTAGACTCAATGGTAAAGGAGTTTAAAGCTTTCAGTGCCGCTTGGCTATCGACATATATAGTCACCGGACCGTTAACCTCGTTCTTCCTCGTAACCAATAGGTTTATGGCTATTTTGACTGCAAAGATTTCAGCCTGGAACACGCTATAGTCGTTTCTGAGTTTGTAGGATTCACGAACATTAAGAGTGTCACAGAAGACACCAGCTCCTGCTCCGCATTCCATCTTTGAATCGTCAGTATAAAAAGCTATGCCGCGGAAATGTGGATTGCTACGGGCCCAGGCGTCCCTGTCAGGTATGTGGATGTCAGGTGGGTCAAAGCTCAACCGTGGTGAAATATAATCACTTGTGTTGGCTTCCACTCCCACATTCCTTACACGCCCTAAGATCGCAAAATGTCCAAAGGATTGACTGCGCTATAGATTTAGTTCTCGAGTCGAAGTGCACAAATAATTGTCAGTTCCTCTGCGTGTATGCTTAGTGGGCTTAAACACAGTAGTGCGTAGTAAAACGCGCCAACGGTCCCAAAAAGAAGAAAAACTAGTCTTAAGAAGTCTTAGGTTTGCTTAGACGGGCTTGGACTTGTCCTAAAGATGAAAATCGAAGTGACAGCAAAAATCTGGTCAGAAAACAGTTGGATAACCCATTTAATGAGTATTTTAATATCAAATTAAATCGTTTAATATTGCGGTTTCTAAATTCAAATTTTCGGTTCAAAGAGATACAAAACTATCTACAGTAAAAAATTTAACAAAAATTATAGAGAGTTAAGCGTGAAACAAGGTTGCCCCGTTTAAAAGACGCCTTTATTTTCACTAACGTCTTAATAGAAGTTTATTAGAAACATTTTTCAGCGTCATAAAATAGGTAGGTTAATGTCAAAGGTAAAAATATCTAATTTTAAAGCACTACCCATGGTAGAACTAAGAAGGTAAAGTCATGTAATCATATGTTTACATTTTTTTTCAAATTTATACATTGGAGATCATTGTCAAAATCTATATTCATAAATCCATTGTATACACACAAAATCAGAGATGGGAACTGTTTTTTATGCATTGAAATTTGACAAGGTAAATTACAGAATATGCAGAGCTGAGGGTGCTAATTTGAAATGAGGTTGCCTTTATTTCATTGTACCATGGCACTACCATAGCAATAAGTCTTATGCCATGTTTACGTTAGAACTTTTTGCAGGGCTAACCTACTTTAAGAGGATTTATTTGAAGTATAAGTAATGGATATGACAATTTTAATCCACATCCAGTGGGTTAACCCATTTATATTACATTTGTTAGAAAAGAACCATATTATTTAAAAGATTTTAGCCATAATTATTTACTTTTTTTTCAAAATTTGTATTCAGTTCTCCCCATAACAGAATTTACGTATCTGTATCCTTTTAAAACTTGTTTCGACATTTAAACAAGGTTTGTATGTCTACATACCTATACCTCCTACGTTAAAAAAAAAAAAAACGAAAAAAAAAAATCAAGCAGAAAAAAAACAATTTCAGATCCTTAAATCGATTAATACAATTTGCTACAACTGCGTCAGATTCCAATGGAAAGGTTCTCTGACAGTTGTGATTTCCCTCCATATGACCTTTACTGTGACCTCTAATAGCCGGTGAGAGCACTTGAGTCTTTAGAACAAAGGCGATGGTTGTAGCATTCAGCCAGCCACATCATCATAAGTGTCCACTTCTATGAGTTGGAAGACATTAGATGGAAAATATAAACATCAAACACAATACTATGTAAATAAGTATAAAAATAAGACCTATATTGCAAACGTTTATTATAAATATGAGAAAATTTTTGCAAAAGAAAAAAAAAAAACAATTCCCAAGCACACCAGCAATGAATGCAAATATACAAACACAATACCACAGCAGACAGCACCCTGAATTGTGCCCACAAGTTAATACACGACTTTGTTGAAGTGTTGGGTAGATGTTTTTCATTAGTCGGACAGCCAGAAGATAATGCGGGGAATACTACGGCCATGTACGTCGTACATAACCGTAGTAAAATGTGACAAATACAATTATGAAAGAAGAAATCACTTGCAATTGCGGCATCAACGAAATGTTAATTTTGAATTTTCTTTTAAACTTACCTCCTACACCCAAGTTTGCTTTTTTGGGATGAGTATCTTCTTGAAAAGCACGATTCAAGGCAAATACTTCAATTGCCGGACCTTGTTCAACTCCAGAAAATATTGAGTTCGACATTGTTGTTGATGATTTTAGGTTAATTTAACACAAATGGAATTTTTTTAGAATGCAATGGGTCCTTTTTTAATAAGCGCAAAAATCTCAACAAAATTTGCGGTTAATTGAAATTATTCGCAACTAAATACAATTTTTTTTTTAATTTCTCACAAAATTGCTCGCAGCAAAAAAACGACCGGCTAATTATATCGGAAAAGTAAACTATTAAAAACGGGAAAACAATTTGCAAAGGAAGAAATGAATAACTTCACCGAAAAAACAACAGTACTTTAAATAGGCGGTATATACAGACAACCAGGCAACCGTATTATGTGACAGTCTGACGACCACTAGCTAAAACATTAACGGGCGATAACTGAATGAATGTACATTTCATGTGGAAACTATGTATGCACGTATGTAAGAACAAATGACGACGTCAGCGCCGGGAACGCTGAGGATGGGATAAAGCAGCGACTAAACGTCAAGTGCAAAAATCAGCAATACAACACTTTTACTAGTACGAAATATATACGTATACAAACAAAAACAACAATACAACGGCAACGAGTTGATGACGACGACGACGAATCGACTGCGATAATTATTGTGGACTGCTGTCGCTGCTCTGCTTGAGCAACGGATGTGGATGATAATTGAAGTGCCTGTATATACAATGATTGTCGGTCGTTCGTGCGTCTAGCTAGCCGTGTGTTTTGAATAGGAATGGAAACGTATCAATAAGATTTATTTGGTATTTATGTTTTCAACTGACTCTCTAACAAACATTAACTCCAACGATGGAACATTCCACATGCAAAGTTTCGAGTTGTAAACATGATCCCTCCACAATTTAATTTATTTAATTTATTTTTGAAAGTCATATTAAAATTTTACAGAACCCTATTTTTATCTTATTAACCTGCTTTTACTCCATGTTCTTTGCATTGTTGTGGGTCATATTATTATATTGCCTTTTTGGCAAATTTTTATCTGTTTTTGGCTCTTCTACTTAACGCTGAACTTCGTCGTTGTATTTGTCTTTCAAAGTTTCTCTTCTTGTTTTCTGTATTTTGCAATTCGTTGTTTGTTCACAATAAAAACTCGGCATTATTGTGAATGATTGAAGACATTTTTTACATTGCACTCTTCGTCTCATTCACACACATACATTCACACAAACACATAAAAACCGTGAATTTTTCACTTACCACTGATTAACCTTTGCTCTATTTGTTGTTTTTGGATTGTTTTTCCTCTATCCTGGAGAGATATGCTCGTTGTCGTATGCAATTCTATATATCAGATGGTTGGATGGACGTATTCCCTGGCATGGACAACAGCTTTTTTACTTTTCTTTGCACTTTTTCTTTTGCTTCTGTAGTGGGTCAACGTCGTTGTAGTGTTTGCTCTTGGTTATCTTCTTCTTTGTTCTGCTGCTGTGTTTTTGCACTTCATCTATTGCTTCTTTTTGCGTGCTGTTCGCTGCTGTTCACGATTCGTATTTTTCTGTTAATACTTGGCAAAATTTTTTTCCATTCATTCACAATAAGAACGGAACTTACGGTGAATAAAGAAAATTTGCATTGCGTTCCCAATATTCAGATCATTTTTCACTTTCACCTAGCATCGCCTAATATTTGTTTCAAAATACTTCTTTCGTATGCGCCTTGTCCCCAATTAGAGTATGTGATGGCGTATTTAGTACACAAAAATGTGTTGGCTATATCAAATTATATTTTCTTCGTCCGCAATTCTTTGTCTACCTATAGTTTAACAGCTGCTTTCGCACTCCTGTCTTTCGTTCGCTGACTTTTCAGTTTCACACTCTTTTGTGTTGATACTTTTCGATTGTATTCATCATGTGCGCTTCCCACACTTCAACATAAAATAATTCACAGTCGGTTTATTATTATGAAATATGTAACTTATACACAGTAAGTGGCAAAATACTTTTTTAAAATATTTTTTGAGATTTGTTTTCCACAACTTGAAAAGGAATTAACATTATAAAAATGTTCACAGTGACAATAAAGCGACGTTCTTTTACAGCTCTTGACTTTTAGAGAAATCATTCACAGTAACAACAAAATGAGGTTATTAAATAAGGGTTACCAAGTCAAAATACCAATTGAAAGTAATCGTGACTTATTTGTATTCAATTACTCAAGACTTTTGACGCGAATATCAAATTAGCTGAAATATTCATTCGAAAAATGTTTTGTTCTGTTCCAGAACTTGCATAAATCTACTAGCTTAAATTTTTTTTAAATATCATTATGGGAATATTGGTTATCGTAATAAAAATGGGCTCGCTGTTGTCGAAAGATTACGTATACACTTTACTCATGTATTTCACAACTGAAATGTCGTCTATGCTTCATACAATGTGTGCTACTTCTCATGCGGGAAATTTGACACTACATATGTAAAATCCTTATCGTGATTAATCAAAAGTCTCGTTTGTTTGTTATGTAAAAATATAAAAAGTTAACTTTGCTGTAAAATTTCATCCATAAAATATAAGTTGTGTTCCAGTACTTTTTTAGTAGTAAAACTAGCAGAAGAGAGAACAGTTCGAAATGTCATTCCCATTTAGGTTTGCTCAAAAAATAAGGGAACGGAAAATTAGCAGAAATGCGATAAAATGTCAAAATTCAAAGTTCCAAAAGTAAACAGCCTAAACCGGACTGGTGAAACCTTACTGAAAAGGGCGCCAACATTTAAAAAATGAGTATTGAAGACGATAAGTTAAAATTAATAATTTATAATAATAATTACTAATCAGATTCCTCATTCAGCCAGTCCTCTTCACTGCTGGAATCATCCAAAAGTGAATACATCAGTTGCTCCATATTTTCTCTTTTTGTTTTTTGCACGACAAATATTAGTTTATCCTTTAGTTTTCAAGTTGATCATTTTCTTTATTGAAATGTATCAATACATTTTTCAACCTTGTTAGCCCTGCCAATTAAATGTCAAATTTACAATATGCACATTTCTGCTCGGCCAAATTCATGTAGCTTAAACAAGCAGAAATGTGCACCATTCAGCGCCATTTTTTTCTCGAGAGAGCTGCAAGTTTTGCTAGTTTTTGGAGTACGGGAACGCGTTGTAGCAGAATTATTGCTAATTAGTACTAATTTGCAGGTTCTGGAACACAACTATAATAATTTTTTGGATTACAATGTAATGAGAGGGAATAAAAAAGCATATGCAAAAATTATGAGTCACATGCAAAAATAAAAAATAAAAGTGACAAAACATATGCAAAACCCATTCCGTCCGATAATGCCTTAAGCTGCAAGTAGATAAGAAGCTTGAAGTCATGGCTAGGCATATTTTGTAACATTTCATAAAGGGAGTACAGAGCCGCGCTAAAATCCTGCCGTCGTTATCCATTATAACTTGACATTAATATGCCTAGCCTTGACTTCACCCTTAAGGCTCTATCAGACGTTTTCGTATAGCCTCCATATAACGGTACCTCGCGTTATTCGGTATTTTGATGATTTTGGCGATATTATTCACCCGAATTGTTTCAAATTTCGTATTTAAAGTTCGTAATGGGTACTACAACAAAAAACTGTTTATGCAAATCCACGTCTTCGTACAGGCCAATTGAAAATATTCCCATGGTAAGATTAAGAAGGTAATGGCATGTTTCAAATAACCATACCTATCCCTGCATTTTCTGTTCTTTACCTTAAATTCTACACTGCATAGAATACAGCTTCCCATCTCTGATTTGTGCATGTACTATGAATTTATCATGGTACAATAAAATAAAGGTAATCTCATTTCAAATTAGCATTCCCAGATCTGCATTTTCTGTAGTTTACCTTGTCAAATTTCAATGCATAAAAAACAGTCCCCATCTCTGATGTTGTGTGTATACAATGGATCTATGAATATAGATTTTGCAATGAGATGTTGTCAAATGCATAAATTTGAAAAAAAAAATTATTATGATATGATTGCATGACTTTACCTTTTTAATTCTTAAGGTGAGAGTACATAAACAGCTTGAAGTCTTGGCATGGCATATTATGTGGCATATCATAAAGGGATGTCAGAGCCGCACTAAAATCCTGCCATCGTTTTACATTATAATTTGATATTAATATGCTTAGCCAAGATGCCAAACTGCTTATGTTCTCTCACCTTTATTATTTTCCTTACATGATTTGTCACTATCATGGTACAATTAAGGTAATGTCAATCGTACGATTACTATTTTTATTTGATATATCTTAATTGTCAAATTTAAATTATATGTAGTTCTTCCTTAGATTTGGGTGTATAACTTGCAAGAAATTTATATTTATTTCCGACCAAATATTTTGTAATTTTCATGCCTTTTAGAGTGTATAAAAATCAATGAAGATTTATATTCATATTGAATATTGAATGATTTAATTTTATTTCAAGGTGTCATTTTGCGACAGGTACGACAAATGTGAAGATCAACAACATCACCGCTTGTTTTGCTATAATACTGGTAGAAAATTGTAATTTTGAATTAAAAAAAAAAATTGACCAATTGACATTATAGCGCTTTTACATACAACATCTCTACCGGGTTTACGCTGATAACTGACCAATCACAATAAAGTTAATATATGTTTTCTATGGTCAACATTATTGTTATTACGGTTAACCCGTATAATGATTTCGTAATTAAAATATAAAAAAAAAACATCATTCGATGATCACACAGTGCTAACAGCACCGATAAAGTTTCCTTAAGATAAAGGTTTTAAATATATATTTTTATATATGTTTAAGCTCAAGAAAAGATAAATAAAATACGTCTTTTTTCAAGATTACTCCTTTGACAACATCTCATTGTCAAAATGTGTATTTATGAATCTATTGTTCATACATAAATCAGAGATAAGAACCTATTTTCAATGAAGTAAAATTTGACAAGGTAAATTACAGAAAATACAGAGATGGATATGCTTATTTGAAACGACTTTACCTTCTTAATTTTGTCATGCATAAAAACTTTAGATATGACAATAAATTGAATTTGAAAAATGAAAAGATCGAGTTCTTAAGCAAAGGGTTACCATATTCGATTTTGCAAATGAGTCTACCTCCATTAATTTATCACGGTGACTCATTCTCTCATTTGCTAAATTGAATATGTCAACCCTTTTTTTGATGAACTTAACCTTGTAATTCTTCAAATAACATTTATTTTCATATGTAAAACATTTACGAGTGGCAAAACTAATATTTTATATTTGGCGTGCCTTGGCACGTAAAAACAGTTATATGCATGGTATAATAAAATCATATGATACCATATGATTGTATTTTTTTATTTTCTTGGCTTAATATGTCAACTTTATTTTATTATGTGTGGGTATTCTTCATGGTACAATTAAATAAAGGTAACCTCATTTCAAATTAGCATTCCCAGCTCTGCATTTTCTGTCAAATTTCAATGCATAAAAAACAGTTCCAATCTCTGATTTTGTGTGTATACAATGTATTTATGAATATAAATTTTGACAATGAGGTGTTGTCAAATGCATAAATTTGAAAAAATTGTAAACATATGATTATGATATGATTACATGACTACCTTCTTAGATATACCATGGTATTAGTTGTGTTCCAGAACCTACAAATTAGTACTAATTAGTGTTAATCTGCTACAACGCGTTCCCATACTCCAAAAACTAGCAAAACTTACAGATCTCTCGAGAAAAAAATGGCGCTGGATGGTGCACATTTCTGCTTGTTTTAGCTACATGAATTTGGCCGAGCAGAAATGTGCAAATTGTAAATTTGACATTTAATTGGCAGGGTTAACAAGGTTATAATATGCATTGATACATTTCAATGTTTGCGCGTGACAACAAATGTAAAGAAAAAAGATAAGCTTAAAAACTAAAGGAAAAACTAATATTTGTCGTGCAAAAAACAAAAAGAGAAAATATGGAGCAACTGATGTATTCATTTTTGGATGATTCCAGGAGGGAAGAGGACTGGCTGAATGAGGGATCAGACGAAGAAAACATATTGGAAAACAGTGCAAAATTAGTGAAAGTTAAATTGAAAAATTAAGTTTAAAATCAAAAATGTTCGCTTATTACTGCGAACATTTCCTTTTTATTTTTTAGGTTGGCTGTCTTCCCAACTTGTGGCATTAAGTCTTCTAGCAGACTTAACATTAATTAAACCGGCGGCTCCAACCATGTCAGCTTCTCCGGGGTTGGGATTTGAGAAAACTCCACCTCTAAATACTCTTCAACGCATTCTGAAAACAAAACTTTCTAAATAAACAGCATTGAAAAATATTTATTAATTTTAACTTATTTTCAATATTTCAGTAAGGTTTCACCAGTCCGATTTAGACTGTTTTCTTTTGGAATTTTGAATGTTGACATTTTATCGCATTTCTGCTAATTTTCCGTTCACTTATTTCTTAAGCACACCTAAATGAGAATGGCATTGCGTGCTGTTCTCTCTTCTGCTAGTTTTACTACTAAAAAAGTACTGGAACACAACTATTCTTATTAAAATATTCAAATTCGGGTATTTTCAAAATGCTTATTGCAATGTATCCATCTACATCTTTTGAGATATATAGAACAACATTTTGAAAAGAAATTTTAACATTTCATTCCGTTTTCGCGGTATTCAATTATTTATTCAAAACCATTGCAACAAGTTGTTTGGTTTTTTGATTGTTTTGATAGTAATTCTGACATTACAATCCAAACAGGTGAACCTCTATACTTGCAATTTTTTTCAAAATAAGCCTACCTTGTTTTCATTGTACCATGGTTATACGTTCCATATCTCGAGAAGACCATTGTGAAATTGTGCAAGAATGTGAAATTGTTTACTCTGATAACCGATTTTCTCTTTATGATATCGAAAAAATGCAAAATAGCAGATTCTTGCAGGTTCTGGAATAGAGCACATGTTTATTTATCTGTTCTTGGGCTTAAACATATAGATAGAGATTTTAACCCTTCATCTTAGGAAAACGTTCTTGGTGGTGTTAGTTCTTGTGTAGGCGCTTTATTTTAAGTCAACCTTTACGTTCAAACCACCAGAATTACCAGTTAAAAATTTTGTCAAAATCTTCACAATACCTGCTATATGGATTCTGTACTAAAACGAAAAATTGCTCTGACAATTTCCTGTAATGGAAATGAGGGACAAAATTGGTAGAAAATTCAATCACTCCGTAAGTATTACATGAATTATCAGATCAGATATTTTAGTTTTCTGCTTTAGATTATATTCTTCCCTGACGTCTATACCACCTAAAAGCTGTAAAAATAACAGAATATTTGGTTGGAAATAGATGCAAAAAGTTTGCCAACTGTACGCCCATATTTAAGGAAGAACTACAAAATATAAATTTGACTATGGAGGGTCATAAAATAAAAAACGTAATCTTATGATAGCATGAGATTACCTTAGTAATTGTACCAGGGTTGATTTTGTATATATACGTAAACAAACACCAGCTGAGCGACATTTTATCCTCTTCGGGATATGCGCTATTAAAAGTACGTTTACAATCTCTACCCAAATTAACCCTGATAATGTGATTGGTCAATTATCAGGGTTAACCCGGGTAGAGGTTTTTTTATTTTATTTACTTTTCAGTTTTTCTTTTATTCTCAAGTTTACATACAACATTCACAATATTTTTTTCATAGTGACACTTATTGAGATTGTGCAATTATCAGGGTAAATCCAAATGAACATTTGTATGTAAAAGTGTTTTCATGACCCACAGAAGTTCGGTCAGTAAGCCCATCTGCAAAACTAAATTTGCGGCCAGAAACATAAATGTGATTTAGTGCAAAAACGACCATGTTTATTGTCAAATTGTTATCAGAAGTAGTGTTCTTGGGCGACGTTATATAGGCCTTAAGATGAGAATACATAAAATGCTTTTCTGACTGGCTCAAGTCAGCGATTGGCTTCTTCGGAAAAGAATAATGGAGCGTGGGACCATAATCGAACTAAGTTAACCTAGAACCTGTGGTCCTTTACAAAGAAGACAGCCAATGACTTAAGGTGGGAATACATAAAGCGTTTGTTTACGTTTTCATAGGTTTAAATTGCGATTGGCATTCATTTTGACAATGCGTGTGAAATCAGCTGATCTTATCGGATGACCTAATGGATAGGCCATGATCCGGCTTATAGTGAGTTTAGATACAACATTTATCGCACATACGAGTCAATGGGGCCTTAAAGCCTGTGGATGTTTGACAAGTTATTGAGTTGACAAAGTGTCTGTCGAAAAATACACCGTTTATAAAACCCATCTTGTGTTACCCTTTGATTTCTAATATGATAAAAATATAAAATCTATTACAACTCTTTTGTAATCATACAACTGAAAATTTCTACACATCATACAAAGCAAACATTTTCCGATAATGATTACTTACCCGTATGTCTTAATTCTGACATAATCAAATTAAAGCATCCTTGAAAGAGATGAATCTAAAAGATATTAGGTGTGTCTGTTTACTTTTCCTGCAGGTATTGTCCAGCAACATCTTTCCGAGAGATTAAGGCAGTTTTATTCTCTTTTGCAAGGAAAATGCGAAAAGTGAACAGACGGTATTTCTGCAGAAGCTTGCAGCTAATCAGCTGATTTGTCAAAACAAACCAATTAGTCCCCCATTAAAGCAATAAAAGGAAAGGAAGCATTCTAAATTTTACAAGTTTTAGCAATAAAAGAAAGACAGATTTTATGTGTTCCCCGGAATCCTCTAAGCGTGTTGCTAATGGCGTTTGTCTAAAAATGTTGAAAATAGTCTTTTGTTTTCTTATTACATATTAATATTTACGTTTTTCACATTTTGTAAAGTTGTTCTCCAAAAACAATTAGGGTGGGAATACATAAAGCGCATATTTGACTGGCTTAAGGCTTCTTCGTAGAGTGACAAAGGAGTTTTAGGTTAACTTAGTTCGATTTTGGCCCTAGACTCCTTTGTTCATTTCCGAAAAAGCCAGCCAAATAAGCGCTTTATGTATTCCCACCTTTAGTCTTGCTTGAAAGCACAAAAATGTGAATGTCGATGAAGAAGAGTTGCAAGTGATTGCAAGAAGAAATGTGTACATCTAGAGTTTGCAAACTCACACTGAAAGAACTGCCAAAATTTCTCTCTCCGACAGCTCTCTTTTGCAGAACTTTCGGATTAACAGACGACTTCCAGTAACAATCACACCAGACACACCTATTATGATAGATTAACGGACAATATCATTACTTATACCATGCTATCTTTAGCTCCGAATTCCAATCCAAGATTCTCACTCACACATATATCTAACTATTTTTTCTTCACAATAATCTGGGATTAACAAAACGGACACGCATTTTTCGCTGGTCACAAATCCTTAAACAAATCAATTGGATATTACTTTAAATTTGTAATATATTTCCATTAAGTTGAATAAACATATGTAAATACTTGTGAGATTTATTTTTAACTTCCTTCTATCTCCAATGATTTGGTAATTTTTTAAGATATATTATTTGAATAAGTAATCACATGCATACGTAAGGGTTAATCTATACTGGATCTACATTGAAATTTCCATCGTCTTGTTTAATCAATAAGTATATGTAAACATCGATATTGTCTGTTTCGCAGACATTGTTGTAAGGAGTTGAATAAATGAATACTTTTGAGTTATTCTATTTAATTGAATTCACGACTTGTTAATATGGCAGGAGCTACCAAACTCCAACCATATATGAAAATACCCATCCAGCTGGAAATAATTTTTATCCACATAGAAGCAGCATTCGCATTAAATAGTTCTATGTCCGAATTTGGTCTAAAAAGTAAAATTAAATAATAATATTGAGATTTGTTCATAAAATAACAACATAAAAGTACTTACTTATACCAATTGGTTAACGTCATCATAACATAAAGCGATGCACATACGAACACAATGTGGAATAATGACCATGAGTATGTGACACTTTCGGTTTCATTATCACTTTTGACTTTGCCATCTCCACCTGTTTCTGCATCTGATAAAACTTCTGTTAAAACTATTAATGTTAGCAAATTAAACAAGAATTATGATTGTACAGTAAGTAACAGTGTGTTATTGGGTGTTTATATTCACCATAAAATCAATCACCAATGCAATTATTTAAATTAACAAAAAAAGAAAAATAAAATAAAATTAGTTGTTAGTATGCAAATTATAAGTGTTAAAACAAATAATAAATGAATGTTTATGTGGTAGAAGATTTTAACTATAGCTCTCAAAATATTGAGTCGTAGAAAAAAATTTAGTGCCTTTAATAACAAGTAAAAATTAGACAATTTTCGGCAGTTCCAAAAAATTTAACAACTCTCCACCTTAAAAGAAGGTAAAAGCTCCAAATAAAGGAACATCGATAGCATTATGAAAAATGCAAAGTAGATTCCAAACATATGTTTGCCAATAATATTCTAAATAGAAGAATATGCAATTATGCACTCCAATGATGCAAACTCTCAATGGCGAGCCGTTCCTCATTTAAAGATTTTATGTAGCTAAAGCGATATATCTAATCGCCCGAAAGTTTCAAATATTATGAGTTATAATAATTATGATAAAATGCCACAAGCAATTCGATGTTCATATCAAAAGAAGTTATTGGATAAAACAGAACAATTGGCTAGTTCCGCAGGGTATGTTGCGTATGTATGTTGCCAATATATAGAATAAATTATTATTTTTCTAGCTAACATCTTCAAATGATACTAATGGCCAGCTCCAAACAACAAAATGCATCAATGTTTAGTTAAAATGTAGAACAAATAATTAATTTAACATACTCACCTCTCTTTTCTCCATCATTATTAATTTTGGATACTTCTACAGCAGAACTAATACAGTTGTACAGAATACAAAGCATCCAAACAACCAGACCAATTATGTTGGTAGTATCAAAGGTTACCTTTGAGCTAGGTGTCGGTGGAGCCACTGTGCTTGTAACACTAGTATTACCCTCGATAATATTAAACATGCCCGGATTACATTCTTTTTCTGCAAAAAAAAAAAAATCAAAAAAGTTAGACAAGAATTAAAAATCACAATTTTTTGCAAATACCTGGATTATTGGCAACAGCTGACCATGTTAAGTAAATGGTATATAGTGTAACCAATGAACTTTGTAATAAACCAGATTGTGGCAATCTCTCTTGTACGGCTGGTAATACAGATAGAACGCTTATCATAATGCACAAAATCAGGTTGAATGATATAAAGAATTTGTTAAGACCACAACCTCCGGTCTGAAAAAAAAATAGTTAGTATAAAATCTTGAAGTATTCTTTTTTTGGAAACATCAAATTAAAACTTACATGTGTGAAGTATATATAGAGAAGAGAAATTCCAGCAATCGACAGACCATAGCTAAGTAAAGTCACAAACACTAAGGCAAAGTAGTAGCCACGGTTATTCTCGGCGTTCTCTGCAAATAAAAGAAATACTTTTGAATAAATCCGTGCCAGAAAAGAATAATTATATGAAAACAGCTAAAAAGTAGCTATGGTCGGTCGGACTGAACTTTTAATACTCTCCACAATTTGGAAAGGCACACTTTAGGAAGTATGTATTTCTATGAGTGCTTTCAAGCAGGATATATTTTTTGCTATTAGAAATTTGTTAATATCAAATATCAAAAAATCCATTAAAAATTAGATTAAATTAGCCAATTATTGACAGATACCATCATATGGGGGCTATACGAAGACTTGGTCCTGTATAAACAATTTTCAAAAAAATCTTAAAAATATCGAATATCGGAAGGTACAGGACTACACCTAAAATTGAATGTACACGAATAGATGTTTGTTGCATATAGGTATCTCAAACTGCCAAATTACAGTAAATTCTGTTCAAAACCATAACTTAAATAGACAAAGCACCCTAAAATTAGGCGGTACAGTATGGATGCTATATTAAAACTTCGACATATATAACCCATTTTCAATACCAAAAAATTAACGGACCTAAAATACGTCTCAGCAAAATTGTGTCAACCTATTTCATTTCGATCGGAAGCTAGAGAGATTTCCACAGACGGACAGACTGATTAAGAATGTATGACGTTGATTATATAAATATTTTCTGTGGGGTCTAAAAGTTAATAAACTGATATTTGTAATTTCAGAAGCACCATACTCAACGCAAAGAAAAATTTCGAATTTTTTGTCATGAGATAGAATGAGATGAAAACGTAACGTAAGCTACAAATACAAAAGTACGGAAAACTAAACAAATTTTTAGTGATTACATTTGAACATAAAAGGGAAAAATTGGGCACATTCAAAAATATTGAAAACGATTAAAACAGGCCAGAAGAATTGCGAGCACGAGCAATTTTTTGCCAGTTCTTCCACTAAAAAATGGTCTGATTTAGCACAAACGCTGTCAAACGATTTGACCCTGCCATACCACATAGCAACAGACTCACAATTCTGTTTTGAAATTTTTTATGTTCACTAAACACAATTGTTAATGGTGTACAGGGTGAGATAAAAAAACTGCAACCAACTTCAGACTGTTGTCATTCCTAAGCCACTCCTCCGACAGCTGTTAAAATTCTTCCAGTGACAGCTCATTATATTGTTTACATTCGTACAAAAGCATTTTGGTGAGAATTTTTCAGAAAAAAAAGTTATTCGTGAATGAATTCAAGCGTGATAGTGTGGTTTCTTTATATTTGGCTAGAAAACCAAAAGTGTCTACCGTTAGAGCACTCCAGCATTTAAATGTGAATAAATCTTTGTGTCTTTGTGTCGTATTAATCAACCGTGGCATCAGAATAAATGCCGAATATTATCGCGAAAATATTCTGGAGGGTGTATTAAAGTCTTGGGCACGCAAATATTTTGGCCGCAGACTTAGGTCATTCCAACAGGACTCAGCACTATCGCACTCAGCACGCGCCTCCCAAGAATGGTTACAAAATGAGGTTCCTCGCTTCATTTCCAACGCACAATGGCCACCAAAATCTCCGGATACCAATCCGTTGGACTATTGTGTCTCGAGTATTTTGGAAAGCAAGGTTGGCACGCACTTCGCCGGGAATGGGCCAAAATATCGTAGAGCAACATTCGGGCAGCATGTGACGGTTTCATTTTCCGTTTGAAGACCATAATTCGTGCAAAAGATGACCAATTCGAACAAATCTAAACTTATTTTAAAATTTGATGCTATTTCCGAAATTTTTTTTTCATTCAATAAAATTAAAAAAAATGTAAAAATTATGGTTTTTGACTTTGTTGCAGTCACACTCTATGTCACCGCACCAACAGCTTTCAATAATATTGATTTACGCACATTATCATCTGTTTAATTTATTTCACAGAATTAAGACGTCACAGATTTCAAGACGTTCCTTCCAATTGCTCCATGATTCCACACTCGGATTAAATTCTGAAACATCGGAACGCAGCAGAAAATCAAGTGAATTCTACTCCATACTTAATCACTTGGAATCCAAGGAATCGATTAACTCCTTTTTGTAGACTTGATTAAAGTTTCGGACACAAAATATATTTGACTATTAAATTTTCAATATCCTTATCAAGAGCAGGCCACAATGCATAAGATCTGGTTTGGACTACCCAAAAGAACTTATGTCCTATATATATGCCCATAAAATACAGCCACACTCAACTGAAAGTTGGTATATCTTTCTTGAAAATGTAATGTGATTTTCAAAACACATTTTGCCACTTTGGACAAAACTGGGTCACGAAATTTAAATTCTCATTATTTTCCCGATTTTCATTAAAATTTACATAAGAATTTTCGACATTTTTGAGGCATTCTTGAAATGCAAATAGCTTCATTTTTTTACTTTGACGTGTTCAATTATATAAACAAATCCTGAAAGGATTAATGCATAGCGCTGCAATCGCGCTGATGGACGATGATACGTTTGCAGGACGAATGGATTTCCCAATAAATACTGGCGAAGTATTGTAGTACAGAACTTGCAACTCTTCTTCTTCTCATTTTTTCGACTTTCAATCAGATGTTTTCTATTGTTTTTTATCTCTTTTTATGCTTTCAATTTGAAAATATTTTTTTTGAAATTAGCAAGACTAATTGTTTTTGGAAACAACTTTACAAAATGTGAAAAACGTAAATATTAATATGTAATAAGGGAATATAAGACCATTGCCAAAATTTTTAGACAAACGCCATTAGCAACACGTTTAAAGGATTCCGGGGAACACATAACATCTATATTTGATTTCCTATTTATTTTTAAAACTTGTAAAATTGGTGGTGCTTCCTTTCTTTTTATTCTTTTAATGGGGCACCAATTGGTTTGTTTTGACAAATCAGGTGATTAGTTGCAAACTTCTGCAGGAAGAGAAAGAGAATAAAGCTTCCTTACTCCCTCAGAAAGATTCTGCTGGGCAATTCCTGCAGGAAAAGTAACCAGACTCACCTATTATCAGAAGCATCGGTAGCTAAAATGACAGGCAGATCACCATTAAAATGAACCAAAGGAGGGCCTGAGCTTATGGCACTTTTAATCTCATCATTAGACTTTTTGCATCTTTTTGACAAGTCAAATTTACCATCCTAAGTATTCGAATTATGGAGATTCTATAGTATTCCTTTGTTGTTTAAATAGGTATTAGTAAATAAAATTAAGTGATTCTCCACCCTGTTCGCAATTGAGCTTTACTTACCAATCCAATTTTCAGCCAAAGAGTGAGCAAAATCCACAATAATAACCAATTGAACCAGAATAAAAAGTAAACCACCTATAAGACCAACCCACATCATAGCCGGTCCAAACGACCCATCTGGAATGAATATTGCTCCAATAGTGGCACCAAAACATATCAAAAATTTCAATCCCCAAAATTCATTTTGTATGTGTGAACGTGGATCTCGCGATGACTTTACTCCCACCATAATTAATGCCATTAGGGCAAAGAAGCATGCCAAACCGAAACATATTCGATATACAGCCATATAACCAAGAGCATATTCACAATCGACTTGTAGGGATCCACCTGAGAACGCGTCTAATGCTTTGGAACTGGTTGACGATGTTGAGTTTATACAGAATGGCAACTTCTTCAAAGTGCCCTGCAATCCTGGCGATAAAGCAATTGCTCCCAAAATCGTTCCAACAAGTAGCATAAAGGCATACATAAAACGGGAAGATGTTGAATTTTTACAGGATGGGCAGGCGCTGCAGCACATCGATGCTGCTGTTCCAGTGCAGCACAAGGCGCACTAAAATATAATACAAAAAGAGACAAATGACTCATAGTGCTTTTAATTAAATAAAAAGTTAGCATGATTAACATATTGATTTTTCTCAAGTATTCGTCTTTATGACGCAGTCAATTGCATGTACATATAGGTTGTTTTCTGTTCTACAGCATATGTTAAATATAAATGCATTGAATTTCATATACCTGGGCTGCTGAGCACAATCCAAGAACTGCTCCCATGTTTTGGATTTAGTAAGACTTAAAAATCCTTAAAATAACTTGACTTTCCTGTTGGAAGAAAAATTTCAGTAGTTCTCCGAAGTCGATCTGCTTTGTTTATTTTGTTACTATACAGAAAAAAACAAAGGGCAACATCTGTTTCAGAACAGTGCTGCCAAGTCTTCCCAAATACTATGGCGAAATTATCAAAGTATATTTACACAGTCCGGGAACTGACGGACGTGAGTCCACCAATACTGGAATATTTTTGATATGGCGAACGACAAGAAGCTATTGCTCTATTCCGGGAACTACAAGAATCTACAAGTTTTTCCACCTTTCGAAAAAATTCGGTTATTGTAGTAAAGTTTTTACATTCTGAAACGGGTGAAGGCATGGTACAATAAAAAGGTAAGGTAGAGCCATAGTACAATGAAGAAAAGGTAGGTCAACTTTGAAAAAATTGCAAGTATAGAGGTCTACCTGTTTGGCTTGTAATGTCAGAATTAATATCAAAACAATAAAAAAAACAAACAACTTGTTGCATTTATTTTGAATATATAATTGAAAAACGCGATAACTGAATGAAAGGTCAACACTTCTTTTCAAAATCATGTACTATATATCTCTAAAGGATTATTTCGCTACAAAAACTCTAGATTTTGTCGATGCATACGTTGAAATAAACATTTTGAAAACACCCGAATTTGAATATTTTCTAAACTATTTTTTTGTTATTGAAAAGAAAACACATACATAAACAAATAAAGATGACATATTAAGCCAAGAAAATAAAAAAATTAAAATCACATATATTAAAATCATATATCATATATACATATGGTATCATAGCCCTACCTTGATATCATTGTACCATGGGTAGAGCTACCAGCTGAATACATTTTTTTTCTAATGGTCTGTTCCAGAACTACAAGAATGTAAAAAATATAGCAACAAGTCAAAAAGTATCAGTAAGTAAGTTTGATTGGGCCAAAAATTATGTAACACCTCGAAATATTGATTTCCCACATAGGAAAGTATATATGGATCTTCCTATCTCACCGAGCTGAGTCGATCTAGCTATGTATGTCCGTCCGTCCGTCTGTCCATGTTAATTTGTAATCACTCTACAGGTCGCAATTATGGCCCGATCTTCACGAAATTAAGAATAAAGGTGGGGATAAGGTCAGAATAGAACCCTATTTCTTTTGGAGATGATCGCACAATATTTAGGTGTCGAAATGGACCAAAAACTGAAAAATTTCTTGATTTTGCAGTTGCTCTACAGGTCGCAATTATGGACCAATCGACGCGGAAATTAGCATGGGGCTAAAACTTCGGGCTGGGCAGAAGCCTTCCGATTTTGATGGTCATCGGGTAATATTTAGTGGGTGAAATAGACCATAACATTTGTGTTAAATAAAAGTCAAATTTTAAATTAAACCGCGAATATTTTTAGCCCCGGCGAAATCATAAATAGACGAACAGGTCAATTCTGACCGTTACGTAGATGCCGATAGTAAATATATCGGATATATATATAGCGAAATATATACAATGTGTATATACAAAGGAAAGGAATGTTAGATGGAATGCTTATATCTCAAGAATGGCTGGACCGATTTTGACAAATTTTGTCAATTCAGAATGCCCTCTTGACATAAAAGTATAAAATCTAAAAAAATCGCATAAAAATAAGTCAAAAACGATATTAAAATAGATTTTTTAGTATTTTGTGACATTTTTTAATTTTTTCATATTTTTTATCGCATGCTATTTTTTCAATTTGACTTATAATATTAAGGTGTAATATTTTTCCACCATACAACACAGGTTTGGGATATTATATACAGATTGCAATTATCGTCCGATCCTCACGAAAAGGGTAGGGTTAGGCTCAGAAGGGCTAGACCTATTGTTTTCAAAGATGTCCGCAATATATTTAGGGGTTGAAATGGACCAACAACTAAAAATGTTCCTGATTTTGCAGCCGTTATAAAGGTCATAAATAGAAACCAAAGGACACGAAATCTCGCATGAAGTTAGAGTTTAGGACAGCTGGTAGAATGGACCACTACTTTTGTCTGAAAAATACCAACATTACTTACAGGCGATAGCCGAAATACACAAAATGCGAACTTCTGCCTTTTTTGTTGATTTCGTTGACGAATATAGCCAAATATCGTAGACAAGAAGATCGTATAGAAGAGTCTAAATTTGGAGATACAGAAGGGGCTCTTGCTTTTGGAGATGATCGCAAAATACGACGGAGTGCATAAATATTGTCCCTGTTCAAAATGCTAAGGGTAATATCTGGGCAGTGCTCCGTCACATAATTTCAAAAGCGAAATCTTCCAAAATGGATTTGGACATAAGGGGGCTTCGAACATATTGTAGTGTTGTAGGGTATCACATGGTCGGCCCCGCACGACTATAGCCTTTGCTTACTTGTTATCATTTAAGGTGGAAATACATAAAACGCTTACCTGGCTGGCGGAAGTCATCGGCTGGCTTCTCGGAAATGAAATAAAGCAGCCTAGGACCAAAATCGAACTAAGTCAACCTAAAACTCCTTTGTTCATCTACGAAGAAACCAGCCGATGTCTTAAGCCAGCCAAATATGAGCTTTATGTATTTCCACCCCTTACTTTTGTGACGAATGAAGTCATACGATCACGCAATCATTTTGGTAGCATCTGTAGACATTGTGAATGAAATGTAAACATATGTTTTGTACATATGATATTGTTTACATTATTATTATAAAACTTTTTCAATTCCACTAGGAATTTAGAAGCCCTACTTAATTTTCGAAATGTTATTACTTAAAAGAATAAAATCTCTTAATTACGCAACAAAATGTATAATCCATAGATATAGTTCTACAGAAGTAAGGGTGAGATTTGCGCCTAGTCCAACTGGTATGTAGAGTAGCATTAGCGTTTCAGTAATTTGATTCAATATTCTTACATTCGACAGGATATTTACATTTGGGAGGTCTTCGGACAGCCTTGTACAATTACTTGTATGCCAAACATCATAATGGAAAATTCTTGCTGCGGATTGAGGATACTGATCAAACCCGTCTTGTGGCAGGTGCTATGGAAAGTTTAGTTGAAGATTTACAATGGGCTGGCATAGAAATAGACGAAGGACCCGGCTCAAGGGTGCCGGGATCTTATGGACCCTACATACAGAGTCAACGTACCAAACTATATTTGTAAGATAAATATTGTTTAAGCCGATGCAATTTATTATTACAAATTGCGTTCCAGAGATCATGTTAAAATACTGCTGGAAAATGGATCAGCTTATCGTTGCTTTTGTACAGAACGAAGATTAGACTTGTTGCGGAAGGAGGCCTTACGTACTAGACAAGTACCCAAATATGATAATAAATGTCGTCATCTTTCACAAAAACAAATTGACGAGCTTTTAGCTAAATCGACACCATTTTGTATTCGTTTCAAATTGGACGACTACGAGGAACCACTTAATGACTTGATTTATGGTCCAGTACATCACAATGTTAGCCAAAATGAAGGCGATCCAGTGATTATAAAATCTGATGAATTTCCAACATATCATTTTGCCAATGTTGTTGATGATCACTTGATGAATATATCGCATGTGTTTCGTGGTGTCGAATGGCAGATATCCACTACCAAACATTTGCTGTTGTATAGGTAACACATGTAGGATTTGTTTTAAAACAGAATAGCATATTGAATATAAATTAAATATCCTTTTTAGAGCTTTCGGTTGGACACCACCAGAATATGGCCATTTGCCTCTCTTGGTTAATGCAGATGGAACTAAATTAAGTAAACGCCAGGGCGATATAGGCATTAAGAACTTCAGGTATATTGATTTTAAATTGAAAAATTCAATACAGTCCTCATGGAAATGTACGATTTATTTTAGAGATAAGGGCTATTTTCCAATTGCCTTGCTGAACTATGTGGTCTCTGCCGGTGGTGGTTTTCCTCATGAGCAATTTTCCAAACCAAAGGTGTATACCTTACCTGAACTTTCAGAAAAGGTAATGTATTATATTTTATTGCTGGTTACCAACGAAAGTTACTACCCCAATCGTTTTAGTTCAATATTGAAAAAGTCAATTCACATCCAAGTCGTTTAAATCCCGAAGTTCTCGATGATTTCAATCGTCTGCAAATTACCCAGTTATTACAGTCTGAAGAGTCAACAATGGAATTGGTTAAAACGGTTCGAGGGCTTGTACAGTCAACATATCCTACAGAGTGAGTATAAACTTTAAATAATAAAATAAAATATTTCAGATTCAGTTAATAAAGATTACGCCTGACAAATGTTAAACCTAAATCGATACTGAGTCTAGTCAGTATCTACCTATCTAAACATAACAGCAAACAATCATAATTATCCATATGTGTTTATTTTTTGTAGAACAAATCTCGATCTTAATACAGACCATATACGAAACATTTTGAAATGGTCTTCAAACCGATTAACATTTATTAAGGATTTAACATCGCCAAAATTAAGTTTCTTATGGGTAAAACCTGCAAACTTTAAACTTGATGTTATCAGTAAAGGTAATAATATAAATCGTAGAAAAACAAAGATTTGAAAATCAATTAATACTCTACTTTCAGACCAACAACAAATCTTATTGGACATTCTTCTAACAACTGAAGATTTTACAAAGGACAACGTAAACACAGTCCTAAAGGAATACAGCAAGCAAAATGATATAAAGTTTCCAATTCTTATGAAATCATTAAGGTCTGCTTTAAGTGGTTTAAAAGTAAGTTTTTTTTTTTTCTTATAAAATGTTATTATAGTAATAACAATGTTGCTTGCTTCTGTAGGAAGGACCAGGTGTGGCTGAAATGATGGAAATACTAGGTAAAGAAGTGGTATTAGAAAGACTTTCAGATGCAATGGAAGCATGCAAAGTGCCAACAGAGAAAGAAACTGTTTTGTGTAACAAATAATCTTCTGAAGGCATTTAATAAATATGATTTGTATATAAATAATTAATGTAAATAAAATATGTATTTATTTCAAAATTGTATAAATAAATAAAATATGTATTATTTCAAATTTCTACTGTTATAGTCCTGTAAAGGGTGAGATGAAAAAACTGTAACCAACGTCAGAGTGCTGTCATTTCTAAGCCACTCGTCCGACGGTTGTTAAAATTATTCCAGTGACAGCTTATTATATTGTTTACAAGCGTACAAAATCATGTTAGTGAAACTTTTCGAGAAAAAAGTTATTCGTGATGGTGATTTCTTTATATTTGGCTGGAAAACCACAAGTGGCTATCGTTAGAGCACTCCTGCATTTAAATGTGAATAAATCTTTTGTGTCTCGTACCATCGCTCTTCAAGGAAATGGACGCGATGTCAAGGAAGGGGACGAAAAGTAAAGAAGCGGCTTGATCGAAACCCGCGTCGCAGTGGCCAAAAAATGGCTCGTGAGCTGAACATATCGCAATATAATTCCAAAAAGTGCAAGAACTTACACCGCAACAAAATGAAGTTCGTAAACAAACAAAATGATCGTGTTTACCTGCCAAAGAGGTCAGCTGAAAATGGGCACCTTCGGTTGGCCAACGGAACTCAAGCGCCGGCCATGGTGCTGGTGTGGGCCGCTATAACAGCCGATGGTCTCCGCTCGTATTAATCGACCGTGGCATCAGAATAAATGCAGAATATTATCGCGAAAATATTCTGAAGGGTGTATTAAAGCACGCAAATGTTGGCATTTTGGCCGCAGACCTTGGACATTCCAACACGACTCCACCGCGCCACCCAAGAATGGTTACAAAATGAGGTTCCTCGCTTAATTTCTAGCGCACAATGGCCACCAAAATCTACGGATACCAGTCCGTTGGACTATTGTGTCTGGAGTATTTTGGAAAGCAAGGCCATAATTCGTGCCAAAGATGACCAATTCGAACAAATCTAAACATATTCCAGAATTTGATGATATTTCCGACATTTCTTTGGTTTCATTCAATAAAATTAAAAATTATGGCGTTTGACTTTGTTGCAGTTTTATTTTTTTATCTCACCCTGTATGTGGTTTAAAAGTGAGTTTTAATAAAATGTTATGATAATTATAATGAAGCACTCTGCTTAAATACGAAGGTCCTGGTCTGGATGAATTTATAAACATATCTACCGAAGAGGTAGAAGAGAGGAATAATGTTTATAATAAAAACAATATCAGCCGCCATAAGCACGCGTACAGTTCCATATCCTGTTCATAAAAAACTCCGCCTACGGGCGACTCCGGCCGCAAGAGCTCGATGACCAATTGTGAACAATTGTGGAATAAATATTGACGTATTCTGTCAACAAGACACCGTTTGGTGCCATGAATCATTACTCATGAACAGGAATTTCTAGACCCTGTTATTACTCGACAGGGTCTTGAAATTCCTGTTCATGAGTAATGATTCATGGCACCAAACGGTGTCTTGTTGACAGAATACGTCAATATTTATTCCATATAACTCGCGCAATAAAAATGGTCGTAATCACTATTTTTTAGAGCAATCCCAAAACCCAACTGCCGATCTAAAATTACTTTTGAATAAGTAGGGTCTAATACTCCTGCCGACCATAAACCGCACCAAATAGTGGCAGGTTCAGGATGAAGGGGCTTGTCAACTGAGGTGGAAATGTAATCGGCCGTCTTGAGGACTTTGAGCAAAATTTTGCAGCAAATTTTAATATTTTTATTTTTATAAATGACGTATCCAATGCAGGAGCTATAATTTGTACTCGTATATACTTTTAAATGAATGCTCCGAATGAGCTGGCTAATATTTTGTTTCTTAAATTGCCTATTTTCGCATAAGCAGATTAATTTATTTTTGTAAGAATGGAATTTTGTGTTAATGTGAAGCTTAAATTAAAATTGTACAAAATTAAAAAATTAAAAATTGCAATAAATTAATAAGTTGTTCAAATAATTTAAATGCCAGTGCAAGCATCATTGAGTTGTTTTAATAAAATTGCGTATAATTTATTTAATGAAACAGTTGGCTAATTTGCTAGACAGTTTTTCGCCCTCAGGAGTCAATAGGAAGTTGTCTTTCCATACAGCCAAACCTTCGTTATTGGTCTTTAAGTCCACAGATAGTTTCTCCCATACTTTCTTTTTGGGATTCAATTGATCATCGGGTTTACCACTGTAACCCTCAAATGCTAATCGACTACCAGGTGCAGCCGATGCTGGTACAATAATGGGCTCAACAACAGTGTGATCCTCACTGAAAACAAGAGTTCATTATAGTAGTGATATACAACGATTTAAGTTAACAAAACTTACTTGGAAGTACACAAAACCATGCCCTCAGACAATATACCTCGCATTTTGGAGGGCTTCAAATTGCACAAGACGGCTACCAAACGTTGGTCGAGTTCTTCAACAGTAACAAATTTAACAAGACCGCTTATTATGGTGCGTGGTTGTTCTTCGGCCAAATCAATTTTCAATACATATAAAGTGTCAGCATCAGGATGGCGTTGAACTTCAATTACTTTTCCAACTCGAATATCTAAGCGATGGGGTCCATCTTCTTCGGGTGCGGCAGCATTGGCGGCATTACCGCCTTTAGTTTTAGCTGGAGGAGGGTATGCAGCAGCACTCAATTTTCTAATAAAAAAGAAAGAATGCATTTAACAATAGGCATTTTTAATAGTAAACCTTTTTAGTAACTTACTGAAGTTCTGGTGATTCGAATTCCTTGCGAATAGGTTCCAACAATTTGTTGATATACTTTTCCACTGTAGCCTTAAGATCAGCTGGATGCAATTTATTATCAGCAAAGTACTGCTCCAAATCGTTATAGTTATTGAATGTAATATCACCGCCATTTTCTTCGGAACGGTTAATTTCGAAGCCTTCGCCTTCTTTGAACAATGAGAACAGAACATGTTTTACGAAAGACAGTAAACCGTTGTCAGTTACATTGCCAGGTTCGCAGAATGCCTTCTTCAACTTCTTCTTGACATTTGCTGGCGAATCGAGCAAATCAATTTTAGAATCTTCTTCGGATGAAGACATTTTGCCACCAGCCAAACCAGGTACCATTGGATTCATGAAGTGTATACGTTTTTCATAGCCCAATTGTGGTAAGTATTTTTCAGAAAATGTGAAAATTTTCCTCTGATCGACACCACCGAATTGTGCATCAACCTTGAGATATTCTTCATCCAAAGCCTGAAGACCTGGGTAGAGGAGACCAGACAACAAGGGGTATTCGATTTGTTTGACTACTTCAGCACCGGCTTTTTTGGCATCGTGTTGTGTTACCACCGACGATAGCCTGTATACATCAAGGGTATATTCTTTTGAAAGTTGATAATCGGTTCCCTTGACGAACTTGAGTTTTTCCAAAGGTACACCAATGGAAGATAGCATAGCCTTGATTACGGCTTCATAGTACTTTGTACGCAGTTCCAACAAAGACCATGGTGCCTTCATGTTATCCAAGTAGGCATGCAAATCGGCGAAAAGAATTGTTACCTACAAATATAGTAATACAATCTGTTTAAATCTCGTTTAAACCATTTCAGATTCGCAAATATAATGTGGATTGTGGTATTTTGAGAGGTTTTTTTTTGGCTCACGTTAATTTTAGCCAAGGTACACTATTGACTGGTATTAGTTATGAACATTCAATGCATGTATCAATGTATGTCAATGTATGTACTTCTTTGCATTTTTTATACAAATTTATAGTTCTTCTCAACTTTTCGCAGTAATGACTAACAAAGAGGTAAAACAAATGCCAAATACTTCGTACAATGGCAGGATTAATTGAATGTTAGGTCCACCATTTCCTCTTTTACTTACCTCACATCCTGCTTTCAAGAAGTCAGCTATTTTTGACATTGGAACGAAATAGGCTACATGGGGTTTGCCGGTGGTGGCTGTGCCCCAATATATCTTCAGATCACGCTCCTTCAATATTGTGTTGAGCTTGTCCTCACCCAGGACTTCTTGAAGATTTCGGGTGATCAATGTCTTCTTCTGTTCCGGAGTTAGACTTGTCATCTTATTAAATAAATAAAACAAATATGAGTCAAAAAGTCAATGGAACCCCCGATGAAACTATCGAAAACGTGGACAAATATGAGATGTAAGAGATGACAGCATTGACAATAACGTCATGACATATTAAAGGTAGTACCTTCAATCATGACGTATGGCAAAAAACATACAGAAGTGTTTAAAGTAATAGCACAGGGGAATTTAAATTTGTATCTTTCATACAAAATAACAACATAACAAAATTTTTTATGTGTAAAAAATATATTTTGCTTTGAGAAAACTTAGGATTTTTAAAAACAATATTTAAGTTACAAAACACTTGCTTCAGAATTATGTTATTCAATTTCCATTAACTTGCTCAACCACTTTCACTTTCCGCTTTTGTGTTGCTCGGGAGCTCTTCTTTCTACTCCTCGCTGTTACTTTTGGCTTCATCGTCTGGACTGATTTTCATCTTGTTGATCTTGAATTTGACCGCATTTGAGACGTAAAAAAGCAATGCCAATGTCAATTCAAATCACAAAGAGAGTGCCATCTTCTTTCTCCTCCCATATCTTCCCATCCAAGGTCTTGTTTGTGTTTGCTGTCAAATCCTCTAACCCATACCGCCGTTTTAGTCAGGCGAGGAATTTAATTTTTCCTCACCACTTTGAGGCTGCCGTTTTTCCAAGGAGGTTTTATCTTCCCTATAATCTCCTTTAGAGCGGCAATGTTTGCATGTGTAGCAAGCTAAAAGAACATTTTGTCGCTGTACGCTACTCTTAATGGAAATTGTATCAGCGCCTTCCATTATGTGATCCACAATTTTATTGTTGACCATTTTCTCCGTGGTTTCATTGCATTTCGTTCCTATAATGTTTCCTGACTGCTTTTTCGTAACATGACGGCTTCTTACCCGTTTCCTCGGACAGCTTCCTCTTCTGTCGGGTCAGGGATTTCTTCTCAGAAACCTAGATTTAGCAGTCGATTTCGTGGCTGGGCTCACCTTTTCGGTGTTGGGACCAACATCGTTGCCATCGGCCAAAGGAGCATCCTGCGTCTCTTCTTTTTTTCTTGTCTGTTGCCTCTTCAGCTTTCGAAGTTGAGCCCCAGATAATTTTCTTGCTTTGGTTGTGAGCTTCAGCAAGCTTTCGCTCATCATTAATACGCGCCCCGCAATTTAAGTTTCTTCTAATCATTGATTTTGGAAATATTTTGTTTTTATAAACAATAAATACATACACAAAATTGGCAGAAAATTTAATTGTTCATTGTCCCAGCAGCTGTGTCGATGCGACTATCTTTATCTCTTATCTACAATGGAGCGTATATTAAACTTTCATTTTTTAAAAAAATTTTAAGCTCTCTTCTTCTTCTGCTCTTTTCCAGAACTTCAAGAATGTAAATATTTTCACTACGATAACCGGGTTTCCCTTTGTGATATCGAAAATAATTACAAAACAAACAGATTCTTGCATATTCTGGAACAGAGCATATATTTTTTGGAGCAAGTTGAGTTTAGGGGCTGTGCTCTGATCATTTTGAAATTTTTACCACAGGTAGGTATTTTTAAACTGATTACGGCAATATAAATTTTTTGTGGGGGAAATAACCGGTTACCCGGTTATTGGACCCGAAAGTTCAGATACAATGTTCGGTTTTTATCCGGTTCCACTGAACCGATACAAACAAAATGGGTATCATTGGAAAGCTTATGAAAATACCTATCCAACAAGTGGTCACATGAACCGGTTACAAGAACCGGTTCCAGAGTAATGCAAGAAAATTGATATTTTTTACCAGTACTTTTTGAAAAACTCATAAAAACTCAAAAATGGACCCATTATAAGGTATTAAAATCTACATACCGTATTATAGCCAACAATATTGCCTTTCCAAAATGGTATCATACATGTTGATATCTTTTGTAGTTCCGAAGATATTAGTGATAGAAGTCATTAATTTGCAATTTTTTCTCCAGTCAAATGTATCTAACCTCTATAGCATTTTTAAACAGCCGGCCTTCGGCCGGGGTTTGAGATTTTCTTCTCTGGGGTATGTCCAACACCGGCTACGCGATCGCTAGTTTTTCTTAACATCGTAATCTTTGTAGGTAGCCGGCCTTCGGCCGGGGTTTGAGATTTTCTTCTCTGGGGTATGTCCAACACCGGCTACGCGATCGCTAATTTTTCTAAACATTGTAATCTTTGTAGGTAGCCGGCCTTCGGCCGGGGCTTGAGATTTTCTCCTCTGATGTATGTCCAACACCGGCTACGCAATCCATAGTTTTCTAAACTTTTATAATTAAAACACCTTTTATTCTTAATCAATTTTTTTATACTTTTTCTTAATAAATAACGCTAAATTACAAACTATATGAACAAATTAGGAAACAAACTTAAAAACTTGGCTTCACTCATACTACTTTCATAAGTAACAACTTTAAAAGCCAATATCTTCGGAATTACAAAAGATATCAACATGTATGATACCATTTTGGAAAGGCAATATTGTTGGCTATAATACGGTATGTAGATTTTAATACCTTATAATGGGTCCATTTTTGAGTTTTTATGGGTTTTTCAAAAAGTACTGGTAAAAAATATCAATTTTCTTGCATTACTCTGGAACCGGTTCTTGTAACCGGTTCATGTGACCACTTGTTGGATAGGTATTTTCATAAGCTTTCCAATGATACCCATTTTGTTTGTATCGGTTCAGTGGAACCGGATAAAAACCGAACATTGTATCTGAACTTTCGGGTCCAATAACCGGGTAACCGGTTATTTCCCCCACAAAAAATTTATATTGCCGTAATCAGTTTAAAAATACCTACCTGTAGTATAAATTTCAAGTCAATCCGAGCACAGCCCCTAAACTCAACTTATGCCTATTTTTTTTGATATTGAAGAAACAAAAAAAAAATAATCTTGTGTAAAAGCTATGCTAGCCCTTGTACTAGTCTTATTGGGAATTATTTATCGCTTAACTATTGTGATTGTATATATCAGCTGTAAATTTCATAACAATTCAGTGTTTACATGCGATTGTGACTGGTTGCAAATTTCACAATATCAACAAAAACATTCAACACGTGCGGTTCGTCCCGTCTGTTTTCGCAAAGTTTATCCGCGTTGTGCAGTATTAAGTACCCCTCGCGTACCGGCTTTTTTTGTTCCTCAGTTTTCCTTTATCAAATAGTTTTTAAAAATGCCCGTTGTCGATCCGTCCGATTTGGTAAAATTGCAAAAGAACATCGAACTTGTTCGAAATATTTGCATTTTGGCCCATGTAGACCATGGCAAGACAACGCTAGCCGATTCGTTAGTGGCCAGTAATGGTATTATATCCCAACGTATGGCGGGAAAACTGCGCTATCTGGACAATCGTCAGGATGAACAGGAACGTGGCATTACCATGAAGAGTAGCAGCATTTCACTGTACTATCAAAGCCTGGGAAATCAAAGGGATTTCCTAATAAATTTAATTGATTCTCCGGGCCATGTAGACTTTTCCAGTGAAGTTTCCACGGCAGTACGTTTATGCGATGGTGCAATTGTGGTCGTCGATGTTGTGGAAGGTGTTTGTCCGCAGACTCGTGCCTGCCTACAACAGGTGTATGTCGAACAATTGAAACCGGTTTTGGTTCTCAATAAAATCGATCGTTTAATTTTGGAAAAACAAATGACACCCTTGGATGCCTACTTCCATATCATGCAAGTGCTGGAACAAGTTAATGCCGTATTGGGTAGTATTTTTGCTTCAGATGTCTTGGCCAAAGAGGATATAAGCCACAAAGACAATTACGAATCAGCATTGGAGGACAGTGATGACTCAACATTGTATTTTAACCCAGCTGCTGGAAATGTTGTATTCTGTTCAGCTTATGATGGTTGGGCGTTTAGTGTAAGGGATTTTGCTGTGACCTATGCAGAACGTTTGGAGATGTCCACCAACGACTTGGAACAAGTTCTTTGGGGTGATTATTACTACAATGCTAAGAAGAAATGTGCTGCCCCTGGTGCTCAGGAAAAAGCAAAGAAACCAATGTTTGTACAGTTTATTTTGGAAAACATTTGGAGTTTATACGATATTATTGCGGTGCGTAAGGATAAAGATAAAATACCAGGTGAGTATCACTATCAATAAGATCAGTCAAAGAATTAAAAAAAATAAAACATTTATGAAAATTGATACATTCAATGGGCGCCTTATAAATTCAGCTTCCTGAGACCCAATTTTCTAAAACAAATCTAAAATACCTACCTTAAATACACAGTCCGTTTTTATTGTAATTAGATTTCAAAAAAATTTGAAGCAATATATTTTTCTTGATTCCGGAGAAACAAAAAATTAATGCGTGTCAGAAAATAAACTTCCTGAAAGAGACGTGAAATATTTTAATCGCGATAGTTAGAAAATTTTGGGCATTTGAATTGGTAATATTTTCAATAATTAGCCTCATCTGTCACTTATATTGGAAGCGAAGGGTCTTTTTTTAGAGTATACTTTACAACAATAATCATACGCCCGAATAGCAGAGTTAGTTTGAGTTGGACCACCAAAAATTAGTATCTATTCTGTATTGTAGAACATTTATTTTAAAAAAAATATGATTATCTACATTCATATCTCTTATTTTCTGCTTATCATTGCAGTAATTGCCGAAAAACTTGGTATTAAATTATTAGCTCGCGATTTGCGTGCCGGCGATCCGAAAGCACAAATAAAATCCGTCTTGGGTCAATGGTTGCCAATTGATCGTAGTATTCTCGAAATGGTTGTCAAACATGTACCTCCACCCAATACAATCAGTGATGAACGCGCCCAACGTTTATTGTATCCTGAAAATGCTGATATCAACACTTACCCACCCGAATCATTGTCACTGAAAGAAGAGTTCAAACGTTGCAAAGCAGATTCTGAAAATATTATTGTTTTTGTATCGAAAATGACACCTGTGCATGTACAAAGTTTGCCTCAGAATAAACCAAAACGCCTTACTGAACAAGAGTTGCAAACGCGTCGCGATGAAGTTCGAAAACGTATCGAAGAAAGAAAACAACAGCAGGAGGCAGTGGAAAATATTACAACTGGTGTCGAGCAAATGTCTACAGAAGAAAATAGAATAGCTCAGGAACAAGCCCTTAAGGCGGAGCAAGAAAAGAAACTGGAGGAGGAGAGGCTTGAAGAGGAAAAAAATGAATTTGTATTTATAGCATTTGCACGAATCTTCAGTGGAACCCTAAGGAAAGGCATGAAGTTATACAATCTGGCTCCGAAACATGACCCCAGGAAAGAGGAGTAAGTTCTACATATCTGGTAATGAAAAGATAAATTGACTACTAAGCACTTTTCTTTTTTCCTAAAGTTCCCTTTCTTTAGATTCCCCACACATCAGTGAAGTAACCATAGGAGATTTATATTTATTCATGGGTGGCGAATTGCAGTCCCTTGATGAAGTGCCAGCTGGAAACATTGTTGGCATTGGTGGTCTGGAAAAGGACATTGTCAAGTCGGGAACATTAAGCAACACCATGTACTGCACATCATTTAGTGAATTGAGCATAATGGCTACGCCAATTTTCCGCGTTGCCATAGAACCCGTTAATCCCTCGGATATACGAAAACTATTAAAAGGTCTCAAACTACTTAATCAGGCAGATGCATGTGTTCAAGTTTCCGTGGAACCTACTGGAGAGCATGTTATTGCCACCCTGGGAGAAGTACATGTGGAAAAATGTGTTCGTGATCTGGAAGAGAGCTATGCTAAAATAAAAGTCAATGTTTCAAAACCAATTGTGTCATTCCGTGAGACCGTAGTTCCTGCCGCCACAGTAGATATGGTTAATGAAGCAATTGTCAAGACATCAGAAGACAAAGATATAACCAAAAAAATTGCTTCCATTCAAACTCTGAATAAATTATCTACATTGCGCGTAATTGCTTTGCCTCTACCCCAGATGGTTGTAAATATTTTGGAAAAATATCACACTTTCTTCAAAGAGCTATCAGCAGCAAAATCAATGAATTCATCAGAAAAACATAAAAACTTATTGCAGCAAATTAAAACGCAACTGATGGTAGCGTTAAAAGAATTCGATACAAACGATTTGACGAAACTATCTTGTGACGAGTTAGTGGAACGTATTTGGTCTTTAGGTCCTCAGCACTGTGGCACTAATATTTTGTTAAACTTAACCGATTATGAGCATCCATCAATTTGGAATGCTCCACCAAAATGTTCGGATGAGGGCGCAGATGTTCGTCGCGACTACAACAGTTCGTTTGTCAATGGTTTTCAATTGTCCACTTCAGCTGGACCTCTATGTGAAGAACCAATGCAAGGTGTATGTTTCATGGTTCTTGAGTGGTCTATAGATACTAGTGAAGAGTTGAATTCCAAGGCCTATGGGCCATTTTCTGGTAAAAAATATTGTAATTTAAGTTTAATATGTAGGAGAATGTACATTTTTAATTTTATTATAGGCCAAGTACTGACAGCATCGAAGGAAGTATGCCGTATGGCATTCCAGAATCAACCTCAACGTTTAGTGAGTCCTATGTATAGCTGTAATATCGTGGTAAATGCAGAAGTTTTAGGTAAGTGTGTAAGCAAAAATATTTTTTTTTGTACCCAAATGGTTTTCAAAAGAAACTCCTTTATTATTTTGACCAATAAGGTATGCAAGGAATGCTACCTTATTTGTTTTTTATGGATGAACATAAAAAATCTTTAGTCAATTTTTTTATGGATTTTTTTGGATGTTTGCAAATAGTATGTATATAACGCAGTTTTTTACTAATTGGGTTGTTCCGCCTTGTATCCCCAGGGCGCTACTACATTTTTCAGCAGAAATCACTAAATTTAAACAATGATATCTGACTATTAAAATTGTATCAACTCGAACCTACATTACAATTTACTGCTTGAAAATTATTTGATAAAATATTGAAATGTTAATGTTTTCTTCCGAAACTAACAACCTTAAAATATATTAATACCCTACTACAGGTTATTTACAGGAAGTTATTTATTCTTCATTTAGTCAAAAATATTTTTTTTATTTTATTAAATGAAATCAAAAAATATCGGAAATAGCATCAAATTTTCGAATATTTTTAGATTTGTTCGAATTGGCGATCTTTGGAACGAATTATGGCCTTCAAACGGCCAATGAAACCGTCGCACGCTGCTCGAATGATGCTCTGCGGTATTTTAGCCCGTTCCCAGCGAAGCGCTTGCTTGAGGTGATCGACACTTTGGTATTTTTTAGGGCCAGCCTTGCTTTCCAAAATACTGTAGACACAATAGTTCAACGGATTAGTGTCCGGAGATTTTGGTTTAATTCGGCAGTTCACTTTCGGGCCAAGCGAAGCAACTCATTAGCTTTTTATACCCTCCACCATTCTATGGAGGGTATATTCATTTTGTCATTCCGTTTGTAACTCATCGAAATAATGATCTTAGACCCAACAAAGAATATATATTCTTGATCAGCGTAAAATTCTAAGATGATTTAGCCATGTCCGTCCGTCTGTCTGTCTGTTGTAATCACGCTTTCGAACGAATTGAGATAGAAGGCTAAAATTTTCCACACATATTTATTTTGACAGTAGGCAGGTTAAGTTCGTAAATGGGCCATGTAGGTCCACGTTTTCATATAGCCCCCATATATTCTTGATCAGTGTAAAATTCTAAGATGATTTAGCCATGTCCGTCTGTCTGTCTATTGTAATCACGCTATCTTTCGAATGAATTGAGATAGAAGGTTAAAATTTTCCACACATATTTATTTTGTCAGTAGGCAGGTTAAGTTCGTAAATGGACCATGTAGGTCCACGTTTTCATATAGCCCCCATATAACGGTACCTCCTGGTAGTCGGTATTTTACTAACTGTTTCAAATTTGGTGTTTGAAGTTCGAAATGGATACCACAGCCTAAGGCAAAAAATTGCCTATGCAGGTCCAGGTCTTCGTATAAGCCCCATATATCAGTACCTCCTTATATTCTGCATTTTGACGATTTTAGGTACAATATTCACCGACATTTTTTGAGATGTATTATTTGAGTTTCGAATTTGAATATGCGACAAACAATATAACGGCTATATTCGTTATTTTTAAAATGTTAACAGAATTTTTGGCGAATGTTATCTTTTTCGAAAATTTTCAAATTCGTTCCAAATGGTAGAGAGTATTCAAAGTTCGGCCCGACCGAACTTGCTGCTTCTTTACTTGCTTTAGTCTATTTCCTTTCTGTTGCGGTGTAAGTTCTTGCACTTTTTGGAATTTCAATGGCTTTACCCCAAGCTCATTTTTTAATATTTTCCGAATGGAATATTGCGATATGTTCAGTTCACGAGCCATTTTTTGGCCACTGCGACGCGGGTTTCGATCAAGTCGCTTCTTAACTTTTCGAACCATTTATGCTGATGTTGTTGTTTTCTTCCGTCCACTTCCTTGACATCGAGTTGAGAGTTCGTTTGTCTTCAAAAATACCATATTCAAATACATTCTTGCAGTTCTGGAACACAACAATTATAGACCGGAATTGTTTCAAATTTCGTATTTGAAGTTCGTAATGGATAGTACAACCTATGTCTATGCAGGACTAGGTCTTTGTATAGCCCACATATAACTGTACCTCAATTTATTTTATATTTTAATGATATTAGCGACATTATTCATCAAATTTTGTACTTGAAGTTCAGAATCGGTATTAAATCCTATGACAGAAAATTACTTATGTAGGTTCACGTCTTCGTCTAGCCCCCATATAACTGTTTTTATTAAAACGGCAATTTTTTTGCCGACTGATGTATATCCTTAGCCAATGTTCTATTATTTAAATATATTTTGACTTCTGTTGTGATTATTCAAATTGCTGACCCCATGTAGAGCAGGTTCCGAAGGAGTGGTTTGTACTATATTTCATACTTCTTTAAATTTTATATATTTATTTCACTTCTTGTGTTAGCAAAAATGTTTTTATATGTGAAATTTGTTTGTTTTTTTTTTGTTTTTCAAAATCTTGAACCCTATGTGGAGGATGTACTAGAAGAAATGGGGTGTTCTTGTGTTGATGGAAATATTGAGATGTGCCAAGTCCGAATGCAATTTCGCGTTTTATGAGCTTAATGGATATTCAAAATGTTGATTGATTGTGGGGGAGGTACCAGAAGTAGTGGACGTATATATCATTACACCAGATAATAATAAATATATTGTGTGTGAAATATGAAGAGAACTGAAAACTTATTTCGGATTTTAAATTAGTTTTGGTTATTCAAAACTTTTACCCTTTGTGGAGGAGGTATCAGAAGAAATGGTCCGATCTCTACCATTTTTATAACAGATCTTGTGTTGATAGAAATTTTGAGGTTTGTCTAGTCTGAATGGATTTGGATGTCAATTTCGTTTATTATGAGCTTCACGGATATTCAATATTTTGAACGTTACCAGAAGGAGTGGACCGATATATTCCATCTTCACACCAGTCCTTGGGTTAACAAAAATAAAGTGATGTGTGTAATTTGAAGATAATGGGACTCTTGCACCACATTTTATAAGAGTTATAATTATTCAAAATTTTGACCCTTTGTGGGGGAGATACTTGATGGAGTGGACCGATATCGTCCATTTTCGAACCTGAGCTATGTAATGGACCACTTGTATTGGTATATAACGAAAATGAAACCAACTGATTTTATTGGGAAAGAGGAGTGGGCGGGAGCCATGCAAGGGCTAGCTAACAGTCGGGGTTGGGGTGGATCTTACTCTCTCAATTCCCATTTACATTTTGTTTGGTCCACACTAGAAATAAATTTATTTTAGACTCCCTGATCTTAAAGATGGAATATGAACTATGAATTGACCCTAATCAAATGCTGACAAAGAATACCCCATGTTGGTCAATAATGCTGAAATTATACGAATCTCAATCAAAATACCTATTTGGATCTCCTGATGGTGTGGAGTCATGTGCCGCAGCCCTCCCAACCAATGATTTTAACGAGGCACATTATCTTAGTTAAAATCCCTAAAGTAGTTATTTAAGTCACTTTCCGATTACACCTTGTAAGAAAATTTTAATCAGTTTATTCACTCATTTTTGTAAACTTCAAAAACAAAAATTATTAGCAAACATAAAAATTATTATATAAGAGCTTCAAATTAGCACATAAAAACTTAATTCAAGATACAAAATTACTCTGTATGCCTATCGTAGGGCTATCGTTAAATCTATTCTTTAACATAATTATGATGATGATAATGTAAGACACTTTATAAGAAAGAACAGAAAGAACAACAAAAACAATTCTTCCGAATCTGTTATAGGAATTGAATGCAGTAAGTAATAAAAGCAAGCGACATATCAAATGTAATGATGATGATGTTGTTGTTTTTTTTTTCTTTTGTTCTTTCTTTGGCGATGTAACAAGCAATGCAAAAGATCAATGTTATTTTGTTTTGATTAATTTACTCACCAAACAAAAACACCGCTGGTAGAGGCCTCTTCCATTATGGTAGTTGGTAGTTCTTTGTTGTTGCTATGCTGCGATGAAGATCATTTTTACTTTTGCGTTGCTTACATACCGAAGTTCAATCTAACAACGTGATTATCATCTCCATGTAATTAATGATATATGGGTAACTCCATACGTATTTTTTTTAACTTAATAGTAGGTAATATTTTATAAATATTAGGTTATTGTAGGAATTGATGATGAAACAGAACTGACAGGCGTACTTAAAAAGTTGCGTTGAAACTTTCAGAATTTTATGGCAACGGTAGAAAATAAATTATAAAATTTTCAGCTTCTTAAGACGTAATTGACGGAATAAGCAGACTCCAATATGAAATTGTGGAAATACAATATCCACTGACCCGACTTGACGTAATTGGAAGTTTTTGTACCAAATTTCGGGAAGATTTACAAAACCACAATTTTCAAGCTGTTTGTCTTGGCAGTTTTAGATATAACGTCAGGTAGCCAAACAGACTGCTATTTAATTCTGTATTTGGAAATCGAACTTGTCCTGGATTTGTAGAATAGCGTTTAAGTGGTGGCTCCTCAGAGCCCCCAACACGGTATAAAAAGGTTTTATAACCTGTGAGGATAAAATTAAAAAAAATTAGACAAATCCGCGGAACCCATTTCTGTTTTAGATTACCTTTAAAATAATGGATAGCGGTATTGTTTCCCGTGATATAGAGAATGGTTATCCTCTGGCAGAGGTAACACAAAAAAATCACGTGGGTCGCGTGGCGAATATGGGGTACCTTTTCTGTTAATAAAATATTTCACTTAAATTGAACACTGTATCAGAAAAAATGAAATATTTACCTCTCGATATTTTATGTTTTTTTTAGGGTGAGAAACTGTGAAGAAAACTTCAGCAATTGAACGAATCAATTTTACAAAATATTAAAAAACTTAACAGGTTGAAAACTTTTAATTGTCACAATATGTTTTATAGTTCTTTGCTGGTTGGTGGATCGATAGAAAAGAATGATGAAGACGATTAGCTGGTCTAAGTAAACCTCATGCAAGGGCAAGTTGAAACAAGAGAGAGAATGCAGTGTAGTGTTTAATAA